TAAAATCTTTTACAAGAGCGTCCTGGCCAAGATTAGGCAGTATACATGTCACATGTGTCTAACAGACAACAAACAAAAAGCAATTAACAGTTAACATGAGTCACACATTGACATGCAAAATATTCAAAACATCTACAAGCCTGTGTTTTAATTTCTGAATCATTTATACTTTTTTAAAGCATTTAGTGAAATTAATTCTTTAAACTGCAACTTTGCTTTATTCCATGCAAAAGGTGCTGCGTATGTATCTATTAGATTATAAATATATTAAAGTTGTTTTCAGCACACTTTAAATTGTTTATAATGCAAATTTTCTTTTTATCTCGATATCAGTTGCATATAATAATAATTTACTACTATTACTATTATTATTGAATGATTGAAATAATAGTTGTAAATTAATGTAACATTTTTATGTGATTATTCTACCCATTATATAAAGCAGTAAGTCTTAGTCCGTTGTTTGTCATACATCTGTCAGTTTAACATTTACAGACTACTGTCGCACATGAAAATAACTGGCATGCAGATCTCCTGCTGTTAATATTTACGCGTTCTCCCGTTTTGGTGAGCAATGACAACTCGTACTGTTGCTTATCAAAATTATGATTATATGGTTGTCTTCTTGCAAGTCTCGTAAACTTGTCTTTTTTTCTCCTGTGAAATGTCTGGACAGGGAGTATTGGTTATTCGCGCATCTTCAACAAGGTCTGTTTTCCGCGCGCTTGTTTACTAAATGCGCCTGTTGTGGTCGGCCACTGCACGCCCAAATAACAATAAAGCATGTGTCTGTCATGACACGTAAACCCACTATTCGTTGGGTGTGTTTTCAAACTGTCATAACAAGCAATATTCTGACAAACCCCTCCTCGAAACTTTATGGATTTCAAGTTAATAAATATTATCAATGCGATGCGAATGACAAGCCACTTGTCGCAATGATTAAGAATTACTTTAGCAGGCTTTGCATAGTGATAATTTTATTTTTGTGAGAGTGTAATGAATGTGCAAATTTTTCAATTCACCTTCAAAAATATATTAGCAGCGCTATTGTAAACAGTAATACGTGCACAAATATCGCAGTGTGATATGCAAAGAAGAACAAATTACACTTTGCTTTACATTTAGAATGTATTGAAAATGCGTAATTATCTCCGGTGCACATCAGGAGCCCATTACATTTGCAAGTGTTAGATTCAAAGCCTCAGAACGAAAATTTACTAAATGAAAGGGGACTCGGCGCAAGGAAAAAAGTGTATCTTTGTTTGTCCCTCTTTGTTTACCGCGGGATTTTTTTCATTTTACTAATTCATTTCAATGGCTTTCAAACTGGAAAATGGAAATGTTGCTCTTGCCCTCTATTTCAGCTGCCGCGTCCTGGCAACAGAGCAATTTTCTATCATCAGGGATAAACGGCATCGAACAGTACATTCGGATAAAAAAGCCTGTGATTGCTGGCCTTCCTGTCTGTCATCTCTCTAGAAAATCCTCTCCCCCAGACCTGAGCCGTGTGCTGTCAGAGCTAATAATGTCTTCTATTAAGTCGAAAAAGAACCCCGAAAAATCCCACTGTTCTCAATTGTACAACATTCTCAAAAGATAAAAGATATTTCAGCGGAGCCACCTTCATTTAGATGAACTGAAAATTAATGCTCATAAGAGGCAACGTGCGTTTCTGCGCTGGCCGCAATTTTCTATTGAACACTGAAGTATCCTTTTAGGCCTGTGTACTACCCCGTCTTATGTTCTTATTTTCTAGAGATAAACAAACTTCTTTGTTGTGCATTGGGATAAAATATTTAATGCAATGCGTCAAAGGACACAAAGATGATGCTCTCTGCGGCATTAGGCCTCATGCTAATTTGTTATGCTATATATATGCTTCAATCCTAAAATCGTGATCAATATTAAAGTAAAAACACATTAATAAGCCCAGCAGTCACTAAATGAGGCCAATGCTTGGTTGCATTTCGCGTTTTGATAATTTTCAGCGGTGGAAAATGTCAATATTTATAATAATCACGCGACTATTTTATAATAATTTATATTTTCTGTCATTTATCTTAAAATAAATGTTATTTATTGACATAGATGGATCCACTAAGAACCTTAAACATCCACGAAATCTTTTAATTTCATATGAGGTTATTTTGTAGTGGGTGAAAAGGGGTTCTGTGGATTATTAAAATGTTTTTCACACTGAAAAAAACGCCATTAATATACTGCAAAAAACCTTTTTTGGTTCATCTTGGCAGCTTTGTTTATTGTTATAGAGAGTTGATTTTCTGTCTGTTGTCATTTTTAATCGGATGCAGACAATCTTTATTGGCTTTTAAGATATTTTTTTTCTCCAAGATTGGCTCCCAATCAAATCTGAATAAGTTTACTGGCTCAGATTAATAATCAATTAATTAATCGTAAAATAAAATGCATGCTTTAATATGTGCATTAAATATAAAGGAGGGGTCTGGTGGTATTTGTTATCCTCTCTTGATTTCTATTGTAGTGATCTCGTGCAGAATACCGACAGCTGCGCGTGCTATCCATCTGCCTTCGCTTTGCCTCGCCACTTCCTCTGCTCAGCAGCCATGGAAATCCGTCGACGCCTGCGTGTCTGTGTGCAGCCGGTGGGCTTGAGTTCGGGGAGAGCAGGCACATTTATCCGCCTCTGCTGAAATTGCAGCGCTGTGTACAATCCGAGCCGGTCAGTAGGTCTGTTCGGGCCACTGGCAAAAACTGTGCGCTTCAGAATGAAGGTGAATCGAACAAGTTGCATGTAAAGGCTCAGATAAGGCTGCATGGATGCACTCGAGCGCCGGCATGTCCACACAGATCCCCTTTTTCCTCTTGGTTTTTGACAGATTTGTAATTTGATGCTAATGGGTTTACATGCATGCTTTGCTAGCCTGCATTACTAAAATAATAATAATAATAATCATCATCCTCATGAACAATTATTTAAAAAAGCATCTATACCAAAAAGTTTGTATTTGGTAAAATCATACGCATTTTATTACCGAAATTACATTAAAAATATTATTAAAATATTTGTAGTTTTAAAAATCTAATGCATTAATTTCGTAGTTGTATATTATTATTTTCATTTCCTAAAACGCAACACAATTCAAAGTCCTTTAGCAATATGTAAATTCTTTGGGTTTTAAATGACACACACTTCCTGTGGTCAAGATAGGCTGAAACAGATTCACTTGCCCGCTGCAACATGTTGTCAGCTTGTATCAAATTATTTATAGATCAGTCCCTGGATGAAATAGCCATTCTATATTTATTTCCTAATTGCCAAACTGTCAGCGCAGGTAAGGGAAGCCATTTTAAAGGTAGCAAACCATAAAATCTCGATCAATTAAGCACTTAAAATGCCAGCAGTAAAGCATAATTGGAAGATTTGTTTGTACCATGGCAAGGCTATTACAGAATATGTATCTGGTTTCGATCTCTCTTGCTTGACAAAAAAAATCACACATGCAGCAGCAGCGGCATATAATCGATCAAACTCCTGGTCACGAATGTGAACTCATTTGAAATGTTCCTTTAAACAAAATATGACAGCTTTTTATCATATTCAGAAAATAACATTACAACATGCATGCATTTAGGATTATTTCTTCCTTCAAACAATCGATCTAATGCTCCACGTTTACTCTTACCTGCTGCAATACTTTTAATCTCCGAGTGTTCGATATCTTGTAGGAATCCAAAAGCTTTCCGAGCGACCAGCTGCCTTTCTGTCTCTCCCAAGTTCAGTCCACCATGGAAAATGGTTATCTACGGCGCTTGTGCACTCTTAAATCCGGCAAAGTAAATAACATCCCTGGTAATAATAGCAAGGTACGCAGTTCTTGTTACAGAAAGGGAGAAAATTGAAACTAAATGCTGCATTTAGGGCTACCATTTTTGATAAGAGGATAATTGAGGCGACACTGGTGTATAATTAGCGGATAATTTATGCTATATCCACTTTTAATCCACCTCCCAAAATAAACAAGGTCCATAATCATTACAGACGAATTGTTCTTAATTTTATAGCGCCAGTCTGAATACAGTGTAACGGATAATCAAAGAGGATTTGGATATAACTGATTGCGACCATAATTGCTTTTTCATTACCGTTTAAAGTAAATGTATGCCATATCATGAGGAAACTCGTTGTCTATAAAATAAAAATTGAGTGAAATGAGAATGAAGAAAGCCTTGCAGTTGTAGGGTATATTTACATCGTGGTTTATAATGTGATCGCTATTTGCCAAACCACAAACTGCACTCGTAATTTGCATATATTTTCAACTGTGACTGGCTCGTGATTACTACATGGAAAGGCTGTCACTAACCCGGGCCTTTCAGTGACTGGGGCTTAATTAAACCAAACCATATCTGGCGTGTTTATTAGTTCACGTGAATCCTCCCTGAGGAAGGTTAAAGCTTTAATGTTTTAGACTACTTTTTTGTAAACTATAAACCAAACTTTTATGCATGTGTGATTTCATGTGCATTGTTAATATCATTTTACTCTTGTGGTTAAAGATTTTTTTAAATACACTTAGAGATTAAATTTCGATATAAATGTATTTGTTTAATTCTACATGTGGCTGTAAATCGCTATCATATATTCTTCCAAAGTCGATTCGGTTCGTGTGGTTTGCAGAATGAGCGATTTTTGGCACCTCCACTGCTTAATGCGAACCACGCGATTAATTATTTAAATGGCAGCGCGCGACATTGTCTCCGGAGTCGTATGTCTGAGTGGGAATTTTGTGAATATCGCAGGGATATCCCGGCATTATTATTCTCCACATGGTTATGGCTACGGTGGGAGCTGTTAAGGTAGGTTAACTCACTGTGAAGTCTTAGCTAAAGCAGAGAACTGATGACGTTAGGTTGAATGACCAATCGGAAGGCGCTGCCCTTTGGAGACAAACCATTTTACTTGTAGTGGCTGCATCAAGTCTGGAAGCAAGGACTCAAATTTAACAGAATCCACCTTAAAATCTCTGCATTTACTCAAGCCCACCTTCCACCATACCGCGTGAGAATTACAGGACAAAAAAGGATAAATTGTGGAGGTAATAACGCAATATCTCCTAACCAAGGAGAGAAAGAAACGAACACAGCGAAAGGACTCATTTGGACTTCTGAGATAGGGGGTAAGTGCTCTCAAAGCAGAAAATTTGATGATGACCATGACTACGATGGCTGACGGTCTGGAGGCTCAAGACTCGTCAAAATCTGCTTTCATGGAGTTTGGACAGCAATCGCACTCACAACAGAGCTCCCCGTCGATGGCCGCCAGCCATTATCCGCTCCACTGTCTCCATTCCGGCTCCCATCATCATCATCAGCACGACAGCTCTCCGTACTCCGGCTCGAACTCATATAACAGGTCGCTACCTTACTCTTATGTGAGCCATCCGCACCACAGTCCGTACCTGCCGTCCTACCACAGTAACGCCAGCGGAACACAGACCAGGTTAGACGCTACAGGTAAGCGTATTTACATGCGTAAAACAAAGCTCTGTTTTCCTGTTGAACTAGCAGTATCCTTCGTCGGTAAAATGTAGCGACGAGGTTTTTATTTAAGACACCTTACCCGCTCCATTTTGTTCTCGCTTTTTTCCCCGTCGTATGTCAGCAAGAACGGTGTTCTCCTCAAAATGATTTATTGCGTTCCGTCAGTGATTCTACCCACCATTGCAAATTATAATTAGCATCTAATTGTGTCTGTCTCGACATGTCAGTACACGTAGTTTTCTAAATTTGACACACAATGTAGCTAAGTGCTTGAAAGGACATTACAAATGTTTTTTTTTGTCACAAAATAATTTTGTATACTAAATATTTATGTGCGAGATTAATTCCACATTATTCACCCTTTTCAGAACAGCAGAAAACAACAGTGATTGAAAACGGTGAAATACGTTTCAACGGAAAAGGCAAAAAGATAAGAAAACCAAGGACGATTTATTCCAGTTTGCAGCTTCAGGCATTAAATCACCGTTTCCAGCAGACTCAATACCTGGCATTACCGGAGCGCGCGGAGCTGGCTGCCTCACTCGGGCTCACACAGACGCAGGTGAGATGTGAACTCATTTGCATAAATAATTATTAATGCCTGATATTCCTTGTTAATGATAGACTTTTTTGTACGGACTTTTTTGCCTTGACTTGACTCCTCCTTTACATTGCAGTTAAGCAACCTAATATTTTAATTTGTCTTTCAGGTAAAGATATGGTTTCAAAACAAAAGGTCCAAGTTCAAGAAGCTGTTGAAACAAGGCGGTAACCCTCACGAGACGGACACTTTGCCTGGCTCTATCGCCCTGTCCCCGCGCTCTCCAGCCATTCCTCCTATCTGGGACGTCTCAGCCTCCTCCAAAGGAGTAAACATGTCTGCTAACAGCTACATGCCCGGCTATTCACACTGGTACTCGTCACCTCATCAGGACGCCATGCAGAGATAGGCAACTATAGCCTTGTTTTAGGCCATAGGCCTTGATGTTGACATGCTGACTTCGCCCAGTTCACGTGCGCTAGGACGCACAATGTCATCGGTTTAACATCCCTAATAGAGACATTGCTAGTCTATTAAGGGGACGTTTTTTGAAGGATGAAGACATGCGGCGTGTCAATGGTCGACAATGGAACTATCTGACAGAAGCATCTGAAACGATGATTAAAAAACTGTTCTCACGTCCGACTGTAATCAAACACGCATTGCCGACATGAAATTGGGACAGGAAGCGAATCGTTTTGTCACATCACACGCGCACGCACGCGCATGAGTCGCATTTGAAAACGAACTCAAACCTCCTTCGTAGATGTTTTCTGATCATGCAAAAGCAAGCAATTTGATTGTAAATATGTTGTCCGATTTTAGTTGTTAAAACTTTTTATGTTTTGTCATAAATGGAGTAAACCATGACTTCAAGTAAAGTGTCGTGTTCATTTTTAAAAAAGAAATAATGAAAGACATGCCCCATTAATCAATTATGTATTAGATTATGCAACACAGGCTATTACTTTTTAAAATATCTCAAATTAAGACCTATGGACGACTTGCACAGTAATATGCAAATAATCACCTTATGACATTTCTCTTCTGCTGGAAAGATATCTAAAGCAATAACGAAATGGCTTACCCGAGCTGGTGGTTTCTCAAAGTGTTTTCCTACAGAATAGAGCCGCATCTTGTCCATCTTGTCATTCTCGAGCTCAATTATTAAGGTATTGACAAAATGTTTTTCCCCTTTCTCTCTGCCTTGATCTGCAAGACGCTGAATGCCTTTCGCCACAGGATCGATCCTGAACAAAGCATCCAGCTGCAGTCTCGTTCAATATGAAGGAGATATTTGGGACAATTTATGGGTTTTATCCAAGAGAGGGTTTTTTTCCATTCTCATAAATGCAGACATAATTAGGGTAATTTTTGATGTAGCCCGCTGATTACAGCGTTTTTACCGTCAAAGATAATTACCTGTAATTTTCTACCACTTTTAATACTAAAAGGCATCTTTATTTGGATTTGAAGTGGCAAAGACGAAACAAAAGATGAAATTATTCGGTTATTCATGTACAAATTGCCGAGGAGAGTGAACGCTTGGGATATTATCTAAAATTACAATGTTGAATGGAGAGACGAGAAGCCCCTGCAGCTGTCAAATCGTGGATGCCCCAGCCGCAGAGAATGGGGCTTGATTTTCTGAAAAGGTTCCCTCATCAACGGATTGGGATGATTCATTTAAATGTTTGCTCTGCATATAGGAGCACAACATATATCTTGAAATAAGAATCAAAAACACGTTGTCATTGGTGTTAGCAATATGCAAAACCAAAATAAAGCGACTGTTTTTATAACCTAAAATAAAACAGATACATCTTATTTAGAAGAAGCACAACTGGATAATCGAAAATAAAATGTGTTTGTCAGAGTTAAGGCCCTTATACAAATATAGCCTCCCAGACAGACAAACAGACATGATTAGACACACATCCGTGGATATACAGAAATGCACAACGCTGACTACTGAGAACGAAGACCAAGAAGCTAAGAATAAAATACATAAATGTATGTGCGTATGTGTAAAACACAGAGATAAAACATCATGACCGGTTTACTAGCATTCCTGTTTCACACGATTTTCTGTAAAATTGCCTGCCTTCCCCAACAACTCGAACTGCAGATCATAACAGTACCCACCCATCAGCGACACTCAGATCAGCCAACAACAAAACAACATGGTAACAGAACAACACTTACCTTGGATTAGTTTAACGTCGAAATCCATGCTTTCAGTGTTTCAATAAAGATAGCGTTGTGAAAGCGGACGGTCCTGTGTATACCGCTTGTGTAGAGTAAGCAAATCCAGGTGTGAAAGTGTTTGCACACCCCGACACCTCTTATATATTGCCTGCAAAATTAGCCGTTATTACTGTCACTGTTTAGTGATGGTGAGCCAGGGAAAAAACCTTCTGCAATCAAGAACCAGGCGCATCTTTGCAAATTATAGATAATTGTAAATGTCCAGATTATGATAATGGAGCTAATCCTGGTGGAAGTATAATTATTGTTGAGTGTTACAGTTGAGGGTGTCCAGTAAAGCTAACTGTCATTATTTATACGCGGTTTGCAGTGAATTCGTTGAGTGGAAAATGTTCAGTTGGAATTTAACAAGGCTCTCGATATAATGGCATGGGATATAGCGTGTTTGTGTGTGTGAATCAGAAAGCAAGGCAAAATTAGAGCTGATATGGCGTTTGTGTGTGTGAAGGCTGCGTCTGCGTGCGTACGCGAGCGCTTGTAGGTTGGGGGCTATAAACAAAATGCGTATAAATACATAGGATTTTATCTTGACTTTTCTATTGGGTGTATTTGTCAAGTTGTCTTAATAGGCCTATTTAATTAGGCTTTCAAATATATATGATCAGAAAAGTAATTGTTATAAACATGGGAAATGCTATCTCTGTGTGGGCTCTGTGGGAATATTTTCAGCCATATTCTCAGTCGTATTTTTGCTGATTAACCTGTATAGGCCTGTTCATTTTGAACTTGTGTGGAAATTTATTTTCCTATAGTTTAGACTATCAATTTTAATTTTAAGTTATTTTACCTGAATATGTGAGATTTCTTTACATAATAATAATGTGCAGCAAATTATTAAATGTTTCAGCGAAATTCAGCCAGTGTGTTTATATGACAATATAACAATGATAATATAGAGCATACCAGTTTGCGATATAAAGCCGCATAACTAGTTTTGTACAGCTAAAATTAATAATTGAAAGCCGATGAAACTGGAAGTGTTGCACATTAAATTTAGTTTAATGTTCAAGTTTTAAAATACGGCAAAAAATAATAATAATAAACGTAATTTTTATTTTATTTAGCTTATTCAATAACATTAGTAGTCGAACTACGGAGTCAAAAAACAGATATGCCCTGCAGCAGGTAGCCTTTTTCACGTTTTTTGTGGTAGTCAGCTGTAGAAATGTCAGCACTAGTTTTAATGAGATGTTCAGCATTTTTCCAGGAGGAGGATCTGTCAGGGCTGGGCTGTGGTCGCTGGAGCCGGTTTGCCCCCACAGGCATGCGGACTGCCTCAGATCTGCGCGCCGTCCCTTCGCCTCCTCACTACAATTCAAAGCTGCTAATTGTAAGGAACACAAAGACAGCAAGGCAGAGCGCACTGTTTGCCAGACCAAATTTTTCGTTTTTTGGGGTGGTTTTAATCAAGCTAGATAAAATGTGCAGTCCTACTGAAAGAAACGCACACAATTAAATCTTGCTTGGATTTAGCCAATCATAATAGTAATAATAATATACAAATGTTAAATATTTAATAAATTAAGGATGTTTAACTGAAGTCAAATAATGTTTTTCTTTCTTGTAATTTAATTATGGGATAGCCATTTTTATTGTATCTGCATTTCAAATTTAACGCACAACACATGATCTCAAAATGTTAGAATAAAATGATGGTTTTCTCTTCAAATTCCTTTGGAGATTTTTTTTTTGCAACCTTCAAATCCTTTTACTAACCAAACAAATCGCATAAATAAGCCATCTACCGTGCATTGCTCTGGGTGTCTTAATTTAAAAAAGACAAAATGTTTGATAATCAAAGTAAAACACATTTATTTGGGGTTGTCCTTAATGTTTTGGCACATCGTCGGATGTACGCGTTGAGGTCAAAATTCAAGGCACCATTCAGAGTGTTTGGGTCCATTGTCCATTTAAAACATTTAATAATTCTTCCAAATGCAATAAATTACATGCACACAATTTACACATTATACACGTTCTTCTAGGACTGCCATATCGATACATTGCATATTCCTCAAAAAAATTGTTAACAACCAGTCCAATATACAACAAAAATAATAAACAATTTTCAGTACAACGTTCCTGATCCGAGTGCCAACGAGTGTAACGTGCCGGGTGCCTGAAGGTGAGAATTCATCGCCCCGGTAGAGGAATACCACGAAGAGCTCGCGCTTTCCAGAAACGTGGATGCCGCTGTGTTAATATTTTGCGGCTGATGGTGAGGTCTCTGAGGACCCTGTGAGTCCCAGACCGCGGGAGACTGCGGTGAGTTACACGCCATTGGGTCGCTGGAGCTGGGGCTGTGTTCTGGGGGCAGTTCGCCGTTTTTCATAATCTTCTTTAGTTTTGATCTTTTGTTCTGGAACCAGATTTTCACCTGCGATAAAGAAAAAGGGGTTATTAATTTCTGGGGAAAATCCCTGAGTAAAGTGTGTTGTCGAAAATTCTTCAAAGAAATGTCAACATTATTTTAACAGCTTGTGTTATATATATATATATATATATATATATATATATATATATATATATATATATATATATATATATATATGGCTATAAAAAGTCATGCATGCAAACGAATCTTAATGTTGCAGAATATTTAACATTATAATATTTAACCACCAATACAAATCTAGAGGTATAATTTTATGTTCAGCTTTAAACATAAAATAGATTGCAATAAAATATTCCAGGAAATTGTGCGAACCTGTGTCTGTGTGAGTCCCAGCGATGCGGCGAGCTCGGCTCTTTCTGGAAGCGCGAGGTATTGCGTGTTCTGAAACCTTCTCTGTAAAGCTGCGAGCTGGAAACTGGAGTAAATGGTTCGGGGCTTCCGGACTTTTTTGGGTTTTCCGTTGACCATCCTTACTTCGGGCTCGGCTGTTTCTTTTTCTGGCAAATAAAACAGAAATTAGATGAATACTTGAGAGTAGAAATGCGCCTTTGTTTGTAATAATTACCGTGATTTAAACTAAATATCACAGTGCTTAATAATCAGGCTTGATTTTTGTCACAAAAAAAAAACTCAACTCATTACGCATTTAACGTGCTCAGAAGTATAATAGTTTGATATTCCATATTCCGTGTATTTTTATTTTCAAAAACCGACAGTGCGTAATGCACAATGCTGCAGTGTTTAATCCAAGTAGCCTAAGTATTTTTATTATAAGAAGTAACACACGTGTTATATAACATGTTAAATAATAATCTTCAACCACCACAACTATAATAATAATAATAACATGCTTTAAATAATTTTATATAACAACTAACCTTGCGGGCTCGGTTGTGATTGCACTCTGTTATATGTTCCTGCGTATTGGTGATACGCTGTGGAGTATGAGCCGTAATCAGGGTAGGATTTTGCAGAGTAATTTCCAGAAGATCCATTGACTCCGTGGTATTGGTACTGATAGGCATTAAGAGGTTTCCCATAGGTGCCCGAGTTCGGTGAACAATAGCCATGATGAACTCCTCCGGCAGGGCTGTAATAGCCAGAATCCGTGGCTGTGGACTCCGGTAGGGTTGGAGATTCCTGAGACGGATGATGCATCGTGGAGAGCTGAAAAGGGTTTTGAAAATCTGCAGGTTTAATACTCGGAATCCTTCTGTCGAATACTCCAGTCATAGTTTGGATAAGACGACGTAAAAAAAGGCAGTCTAACTCTATAGGGGTCCAAAGAGTCTACACTAACATTGTGCGTGCAAGCGTCAAGCGTCTCTCTTGAAGACTGCTTTAAGCCCCGCAGCAAAGACTTGGTTAAATCCTAAATTGCGCTGTTACGCACTGCAGGGAGGATCCAGTGCCATTGGCCAAGGAGCACAGCAGACAGGCAGTTACTCCCCAACTCGTTCAACCAGTTTCAGATGAACAAAAAAACTTAATAGAGGTATTTATGGTATGTTTACAAACAAACTGAAAGGGAAATTGATTATTATTTGATAATCTATAAATCGCTCACCGGGCGAAAAAAGCGGACTGCTGTTTACATAAATATCCCGATATACTTCTCACCAGCAGGAATGTCTGATTCCTTAAATGTGTTTGTAACACAATTCATATGTAATTACTTATATTTCTGTGTTTAGTTATATCCTCTTAGACGGCCTCAGGATTCAGTATTTTATAGTTTTCTGCTTTAATCCGCATTAGACTCTTCTTTTGTGTTTGTGTTGATGTTTACAATAATCTGCGTAGTTTTAAAACCACATATTTTGTTTAATTCAGACTAGAATAATCTATCATTAAAACTGTATTAAATAATCTCTATTTGTTTAGATTGTAATCATTGCAATTTGCAGCATGTATTTAAGGTTTATTTATGGCTGCAATGCATGAAAAAAGCGTTAAATATAGCACCTTGATTATTAAATACATAATAATGACACAGTAGCCAATGTGTACGGAGTAATATAAAAGCAATTTAGTTTATTTGTACTATTATTATTGCTAAATTTGAATAGATATCAGAATCCAGCAAGCGTTCATTCATAGTTAGCAATAATGGTGAAACGGTGCCACCAAGTGGAGACGAGAAACAGTTAATCCTGTTGGTCAAACACATGGCTGCAATTAAGCAGTGCATTATGACTGGCCATAAATGATGAGAAAAATGTCAGACATAATTTACCAAGGGCGGTGGAGTGGTGTAATTTTAGCTCCTCATACAGATTGAACTGATCATATTTATCATATGGACTAAAAACTCAACAAAACAGCGTGATTCTGTACAATATTGAATCATGTTTGACCGAGAATAACTGAACAAAAACAGTTTAAGACAGTATTTTACAAGCAGATACAAATTTATACCTCTAGTTTACACAATAATAATTCTGTGGTTTATACAGTAGCAAAACTTCAGCTTCATATTTACTGCCTTTTTAAAATAAATTACATTGTTATTTCTCAAATGATACAAACTCTCACATGCAGACTCCAAAGCAACTTTTCTAAACTAAATGTGTCACTTTTTTGTTTTAAAAATCATGAAAACAGGATTATTTAAAACCTGAATCACAGAAATGTATTCAAATCATAAAAAATAAGCAATTAAATGATACAGTGGATGGAAACAAAATGTGCAGAAAGCTCATGAGAAGTTACATTTATTAAGTTAAATTAAATTTTTAAAAAAATCATAATTAATCATGAATGAAATGTAAAATGAAAATGAAATATTTATTTATTAAGGAAAGAAAGAAAGAAAGAAAGAAAGAAAATAACATTTAAACGTGCATAATCCTAACAAAAAGAATTAAAACATGGGATTTACATATGCAAATCTCCCCAAAATACAAGAACAACAATAAATAATAATTAATAATCATTACATAAACAAAAGAGAGACCCTATACAGCATTCAATTAGTCAGATCAAAGAAAAATAGCAATTAAATGAATCAGTGGATGCAAACAAAACATGTGCAAAAATACATATAATAAAAAATAAAGTTAAATTTAATAATTTAAATTAAATAAAAAATTCATAATACATATCCATTATTAAAATAAATATTTTAATTTAATTCAAGAAAGAAATGCAAAATAAAAATGAAACAGTTATTTATTAAAGAAAGAAAATATAATAAAACATGCATGAACCCCTACAAAAAGAAATAAAACATGGGATTTACATGTGCAAATCACCCCAAAATACAAGAATAACAATAAATAATAATTAATAATCATTGCATAAATAAAAGAGAGACCATATACAGCCAAAAAATACCTGGATCACAGATTCAATTATTCAGTCAGATCACAGAAAAATAGCAATTAAATGAATCAGTGGATGCAAACAAAACATGTGCAAAACTACAATGAATTAATAAGTTAAATAAAAAAATCATAATGCATATCCATTATGAAATGAATAAATGATTAAAATGAAATCAACAAAGACATATCAAAATAAAAATGAAACATTTATATTATAAAGAAAGAAAATAAATTTAAACATGCATAATCCTAACAAGCCTCGGCTGTGTTGGTTGGCATTTCTGTGTGGAGTTTGCACGTTCTTCCTGTGTTGGCATGGGTTTCCTGTTTCCCCCACAGTCCAAAGTCATGCGGTACAGGTGAATTGGGTGAGCTAAATTGTCCGTAGTGTATGTGTGTAAATAAGAGTGTATGGGTGTTTCCCAGTGATGGATTGCAGCTGGAAGGGCATCCGCTGCGTAAAACATATGGATAAGTTGCCAGTTCATTCCACTGTGGGGACCCTGGATTATTAAAGGGACTAAGCCGAAAAGAAAATGGATGAATGAATAATCCTAACAAAAAGAAATATGTTGAAACCTCAACATACTGGAACAACAATACAAATTAATGAATAATCATTACATAAACAAAAGAGGGACCACAAACAGCCAAATAGAAATATGTTTGCTGTTTGTTCAAACTAGTTACTTGAAATTAGCTGAAACAACAGAATTATTGAGTTTTATTTTGGGATAACTTAAATGTTTTATGTTCAATCCACTTACATTTAAAAAAAACGAATAATTTAACTTAATCCCTTCTTGTTGTCCCAACACAAATTGATTGTGTGAACCCAACATTTTTACAGTATAAATATATATGTACACTCTCAGAAATAAAGGTATGCGAGCTGTCACTTGGATGGCATCTTTTCAAAAGGTACAACTTTGTACCTTAAAGGTCCACATGCAGTTTTGTTTACTCACAACTACTTGTACTTCAGACACAATGACTACAATCTGAATATTAAGCAAAATAACGTAAAATATTACAAACTACCTTCATGGTAAAGATTAAAAAAACGATCGTGTTTAAAATGTTATAAAACAAACATCTTGCTCGTTATAAAGCATTTGGAATTTTTTTTTAAATGTATTTTTAGAAATCAGAGGAAATGGATAATCATTTTGCCTTGATCAGTGTGTAGTTTTTGTGCAGTAAAGAAGTCCGCCAGTAGAGGGCAGCATTACACAGTAGCGTAAATTTGGCTGCTTGCTGAACCATCGTTAACCATATATATATGGTTGGATAATAAGAAGCTTACCACCACTAGGAGTTTGTCAGAGTCATTGGTAAAAGCAGTGTTGTCCTAGCCGGGCTCACCTTCTGTTCTAATGTCCCGCATCTGTCTTTAATAGGATATATGCCGAAGCATGCTAATAGGACTTTTAATTTGCCAGGGTTAAGCGCTTCCTGTGAACTGTATGCCAATGGAAAAATCTGCCCGTTTAAGGTCTGTTTTCTTAAAAAAAAAAAAAAAAAAAAAAAACAGCGATCTCCATTGGCTGAGTGATAACCGATATAAAGTGGGTCTCAGATTGTACAAGATTCTCGCAGATTCTGGGCGAGTGCGAGTAAAAGGCCTTTCGTGTCGTTTTACACTTAAACAACTAAATGAAAAGTTTATTTAAGTGAATGTATTTTAATTATATTACAACATCGATGCTGTAAAAGGAGCCGTATAAAATGGGGGGGGGGGGGGGGGGGAACACAATAACCGGTCAATGGAAGTTTATAAATATGGGAACAACACTAGCTCGGTATACCCAATTAAATTAATCTGTCTCCATATTCTACTGCATCGCAGAGTATTAATCAGCATCAAAAATGTAAAAATATATATTTAATAAATTTAAATAATTTTTGTCTACAGCAGACCGCAACTCGCCATGATGCAGATTCCCAAGTTTGTGTGCTCCAATGAGATGAGCCCTCTTCAGCGCTCACCATGACAACAAGACTCACAACAGTGACGTGGCATTGTAAAAATTTGCATCTGCATTCCTATAAAGCTCGTTGGTTCTCTCTCAGCGTTGTCAGTTCGCTCGGTGTTGCCCTAGGCAGGGAACAAACAAGCCCTGAGGACCCTCAGGGAAACACTGGAGGCCGGTAGTGGGACCTCACTGCGGGGAACATGGTGAATGGGAGTAGCGAGGCCCACTCATCGTCTATTTTAAACTATAGTTTCAAACTTTAGTTTACTATAGTTTAAAATAGAAACCGTGGTAACTGTTATGTTTTAACTGTATGTCTGGCTGTTGTAATGTTTTGCTTTGTTTTTCAGCAGAGTTGTAGAGCAAAGAAGGACAACCGTTGAAGACAAGCACGGGTTATATTCACGAACGCGCGCATTGAAATGTTTCCGTGCTGTTTTCTGAAAGTTTATCTTGTTTAAATGAGTTTGCAGGTCAAACAAAATAAAGTATACTCTTTCTAAACACCTGTCTCTTGTTTTATTTGTTCTCTACAGCAATACACTGTCATATAAGTCTGTTGAATGCATTTGTATGCAACATGGTTTGACAATACAGTAGTCTAACAAATAAATAGTTGTTATAAGTCAACATTTAGTGTAGGTAATAAAAAGTTAATCAAAGATGTCCTGAGACATAAAGGTAATGGTATGGTTGTTGCATAACTGTATTTATTATTATTCTGTATGTTTAAAACCAGCAGATTTACTATATATTTACCATGTCATGAACTTACTGTTATTCAAAAATTTGCTCAATAAAATATCCTAAGACAAGAATGGGTGTTGTTTTGGTTTTATGTCAACCTACTGTAAGTTTTAGGTTGACTACAGCAGGTATAAGCTACCTACATCATAATATTGGTAGCCGGAAGTTTTTTTTATGACCCAAATCAAGTAAAATGTCTCTTACTCAAGTACTTAAAGCATGCAAAAGTCAAATTTAAGTATATAAAATACAGTTTCCAACAACAAAGTTTTGTCTTGTGAAAATGACCAGTGGGGTGATGAGGAAAAAAGTTAATGTCAAGATATATATATATATATATATATATATATATATATATATATATATATATATATATATATATAAAGGTGAGAAATGTTTGCGTTTCAAACTCCTATTTAAGACATAAAGGTAAATTCATATAAGTACTGAAATATCCAATAGTATTTGACCTTTGTATAAGATTTTAGGTAGATCATAAGCCCAAATTATAAAATTATGATCGACTAATTGATTCATTCATTTATTCCTTCCTTCTACTTACATAAAAAATACTATACTATATATTTATTGTAAATAGAGTTTTTGAATTATACAGTTAATGAATCGGTTGTGGCAATTATATGACTGCAATGGTAATACAACAACTAAATGTATGCAAATTACTCATAAAAAATCAAATACTTCTATAGTGATGCCTTCATTTGATAGTGATTTTTAGTTTAGGTTTGAGTGAATCATTAGTGAATACATGATGTATTAAAATGCGGTAAGTTCATAATAATATGTTTTCTACAGCTATGTTCTATTCTAGTTTACTAAAAACGAACACAGTATCCATTACAGTTTATCAGTTCACTAATTTACATATAAAACATATAGTAATACAGTAAAATACTAGTGTTTACTGTAAATTACTGTTGTTGTTGTTGTTGTTTTATGTGTGCAGTTTCAAGTACAATTGCCTTTTTACATTTTAATTATTGTTAGATATTTTTATATTAATATTAGATATTATTAACTAAAAATAACAATATATATATATATATATATATATATATATATATATATATATATATATATATATATATATATATATATATACACACACACACACACACACACACACCTCACACATCTATCTTTTAAATTCATACTTTTAATAGGAACCTATACAGTACTATATTTGTGCATATACATTAGATTAGTCAGTACTGAAGCCAAATCTGGAGTTTATCTAACAAAATAACTTGCTGAATTTAGAGGTTATACAAAAATAATAAATACAGTGTATGACCATGCAAGGTGACATATGACGCTGTTTGGCCAGACCAAAACAGAAAAGAGGATGTTACTGTACTTGTATTCTGTAAATCCTTCTGTTGATGGTATATGTAGACCATGTTGTGTGCAACTTTGTGTTGGTTGATGAACACTGTGTACACTGTTTTTGTGGGGAAAATACAGTCAAATATATTTGGTATTTGTGTGTTTTGTATAAAAAAAATATTCTGAAATATTTTACAATGCACTTATCTAGGCCTCTGTATTGTTTGTAGTAAGTGTAACACAACAAAAAAGGCTTACAGTAAGTCATTATGATGAATGGAGAAGAAGTCTCATCGTGTTTTACATGAAGCACATCGGTGATCAACTGGTTCTAATAAAAGTCTATTCAATTGATGGATTGTGTGTGCCATTTGAAAACAAAAACACCATTTTAAGAAGAAATCACATTGTTTTGAATGTAAAGTTTCATTTTGCAGGAGAATTTAAGTGTTTTGCCCAATCTGTGTTTTTATTTATAGAGTTTTGACAAAACGAGACATGCTTTCAGAAAATGTGTGTAAACAATTGGGAAAAACTGTAAATATTTGCGGTTTATACATGCAATTAGTGTTTACAGCGGACCTGTTACTTTCTGTTCCTGTTATTTTCACCGTAGAACATTGTGTTGAATTGTAGATAAGTCTATGAAAGAGCAAAGAGTTTTAGATTTAGAGCAACACTGTTTTCATGGTGTACCCAAACATTTATTATTATGAAAGAAGTGTTTGCCATTTGATGTTTCATTCTGACATGTGTTTATGGCATTTTGAATGCAGAGTGACATTTTGAAGGAAATGTGAGGCATTCAGGATTTTGTGTGTGCAGTTTTGAGAATTCTGTGTAGAGTTTTGACAAAATGGGACACTGTTTTAAAAAAGTGTGTAAGCAGTTGACCAAAAAAATAAAAAAATAAAAACTGTAATACCTCAAGGGTACATATTAGTGGCTAAAAAGTACAAAAAGTACCAAATAAAATACACTTTCCATCCCCAGGCAGAAAAAAAAATCCTCAATAGGATTGAGGAATGGAGAATATGGAGAGAGATAAACAACTATAAATGTGAGTGGGCAGTGGATCAGTTTTGAACCAGATGAGCTCTGATTTCTAAATTGCAGTTATGTGTGACATGTGGTTTCCAATGTGATGAGTTAGTATGTAAAGTAGGGCAACTGACTTTACCATTTGAATGATGTGTGTTCCTCGTGAAAACAAGAGATTTTCTGCATGAAACTTGTGTCAAAATGTTTTGAAAGAGGTGTGTTTTAAACCTGCAATTTGAGTGTAAAGCAGGAATTGTGCTTGTAGTTTAGAAAAATTGGTTCAGGGGGTTGGTGCATCAGTTACATGTTGTAGTCATTGTGTTTGTAGTAGAAGTAATTGTATGTAAACAACTAAGAAAAACTAATAAATTTCAGTGCTATCAGACTATGAAACAATTAATAAATACACAATAGATGAATAAATACTAATAAGTAACAGCTCAAATAAAAATATATTTAAAAAAAAATATATATATACATAAGCACAAACTTTTACATCGATATATCCTTATTAAAAATCTCTCCAAACAAACCCGGAAATGACGTAACGTGACGTGCCTTATTTAGACATTATTAATTTAAATAACGGAGGTTTTCTAAGTACACAACGCTAACTCGAACTAAATAGTTAAAATAAAACTAAATGCGACGCTCAGACAATTGTTGTAACGTGTTTTTGTGTAGTTTTTGGAGAGTCTGGTAAATCAGGCGCTTGAGCGGCGACGGGGGGAAGGGACGGACGGACGGGCCACTCGGAGCTCTCGTGCTCCAGCAACTCTGCGCGCTCACTTTAATCTTACTTTTCACCTCTGTATCGATGCTGTTTTGAAAGAAAACCCAGCTCTTCCGTTACCGCATGTGTTACGTGGCATCAGAAGACCCAAAAGTGTCGGCCCGGGATTGAATTTTGCTGCAGAAAGCGATTAAAATGTATCCCATTGGAGCAGCTGGTGGTAAGTGTTATTATGATTAGCGAGCATGCTAGCGAGGAAATGCTAACCGAATACGTGTGGTGTTTTACAAATGAAATAAATGCTGTAGTTTAACCGTCTGCAATTGCAGGTGGAATCAATGGTCAAAAGTATGTTAAAGCTTAACGTCATGTAGTCTTGTTTTCCTTTTTTGTCAGTGGTTTGTTTTGTAGGCCCATTGTTATTGTTAGCCTGCTAGCTAAGCTTGTTGACATGCTGGCTTTTCAATTTACTGCAGCTGGTTAAACTCCTATGCACATCGGTCTTTAAATGTTAACGTGACGAACTTTCTTACTGTTTCAGGTGTTTAAATTTGTTTGCATTTCAGTGTTTGTGAGTTATTTGTTTTAAAGTTAATTTTCGACACCTTTTACGTTTGTAGTTTGCTACCTGTTTGGTTCTCTCTAGCTAGACAGGTAACGTTAATGAAAGTTAGTAACTTATAGTTCTTGTTAAACATAACTTTGTAATGATATTTAAGTTTTAATACATTTTTGGGGTCATTATGATGTATTTTCAGTCTAAATATTCAACTAACTTTTAGCAAAGATATCAAGCTATATTATACAGGCTAATCAATAAACACAGGCTGGTTTACTATACAAGTTTTACCACATACATTAGTAAGTAGTGTCGAGAATTACCTAATGAGTTTCAAAAATTTTAAGAAATAGGCAGTGACATTACAGGACATTGTGTTCCAAGTAATAAACTTTGTTGTTAACACTTTACAGTAAGGTGGCGTTTGGTTTACTGCATTCATTAACATGCATTCCTTAAGTCAAGACGTGCCACATTGTTATTTGCTTCAAGTTAAATTTACAAAAGTAGTTTTATATGCATAAATGCATGTGAAATGTCCACTTCATTTTTTCAGATAACTTTCGTAAAAATAAAATCCCACAATGTAACAAACAGGCTATAAATTTTAAAATATAAAACAACATACATACTCTAAACTATGCTAATTAAACTATATAATAATTCATGATAATGAAACTTAGGTCTGCATAATATATCGTTTCAGCATCAAAATTGCAATGGGATTATTCGTAAATAGTCAGATTCAATAATTCATTTTTGACTTAGTTCCTTTATAAATCTGGGTTCGCCACAGCGGAGTGAACTGCCAACTTATCCAGCATTCGTTTTATGCAGCGGATGCCCTTTCAGCTGCAACATATCACTGGGAAACAACCATACACTTCCATTCACACACAGTCATACACTACAGACAATTTAGCTTACCCAATTCACACATACCACATGTATAAAGTGTCCATATACACTCATTTCTTTATTTAATTTGTCTATGCTTGTTGATTTGTTTCTTATATTTTATGCATATGCACAGCCCTACAGATTCATCCCAATCAATATACAATGATATTTTTTTTCCAAATAGTTATTTAGCACATCTAGTTTAATTATATTTATATTACAATATGTATCGCAGAATAAAAAATCTAGCAATTTTAGATTTTTCTAATATTGTTCAGCCTTAACTTTAACTTTTCAGTGTGCTTTGATTGGTCCGATTTCACTAGATTTTTTTAATTTTAAGATCTGATATCTTGAATATTAGCAATAAATGTCACGTTAAATAGTAGTTAAACTTACATTGGTATCATTTAACACTGAATTATGCACATAATCTTTACTCGAGGTAATTATTGTCTTAGTAGGTTTTTTAAATGTCAAATTTAAAGCTGTTCAGTGCTCAATGAAACTGCTGCTTGTCTGTGGGAGAGTTTGGCAGGTTGTTAAGTTGCTTGTGTGTTGTTGTGATAAGGAGGTAAAAGGCCTGTTGCCCAGTGGGATGGGTTCACGTCCTATTATCTTCCTGCCGTGTTGGGTTTTTAGGATTGATAAGATGGGGCGAGACAGTTCAGGGAATCTATCAGTAAAAGACTTCAGATACTCGCAGCCTCCTCATTGGTTTCATGTTTTAAGAGTTGCATTAACTTCTTTTTTCATAATTATTCAGTATTAGCGAAAATGTTAATTTTACATTTGTTAGCAGGTTAAATATGCATTTCTGTTCGATCACTCATGTTTATGTTTGTTTGAAATAAACCTGTTATGTCTTTTCCAGCTACTGAGCTGTTTCAGGGACGTCCGTCTTCAGGGTCAGATGTTTCTGGTAAGCAGCCCAGACTGAACTGGCTTGTTGAAAGCTACGCATAACATGTTTTCAATACTTGCCTTGAAATGGTAAATGAAAACTTTAAACAAAAATGTATTTAAATCTTATTTTGTTATTTGAGCTTTGTGTTAATTCACTGATTCTGGAAAGGCTTGAGTGTTCCTTGGTTTATTACGTATTGACTCTAGCAAAAGTTCTGTTGTATTAAACATCAGGGTAGGGTTGCACCAGCTGATCAAAAGTTCTTTCTTAAACTGAAACGTAAAGTCCACACTAAGGGCTTAGTAACTACTAGCTAGTTTGTAATTTCGTTTGTTCTCACTTCAGTTGCATCATATGATCTTAAGACATTAGTTACTAGGCCTTAAGCTCTTGTAAAGTCATGTGTAGTATGACTTGATATACAATAAAAAGCATTTAAATCGTTAACTGCTTTAAAATTCTGCAACTATTACATCTATATATAAAACAGTCATGTGAAAATTAAATTATAAATCACATTTTATAGCACTTAAAATTACTAACAGATGACGTGGGAGGATATGAAGGCTGTGAGTTGCGGGAGATCATTTTTCATTATCGCGAGCTCCTTTATGTAAACTAATCTCGATGTTATCTCTTTTCTACCGTTATACCTGGGGGGATGCTGGTATTAATATTTAGTTGGAACGTAGTGTTATGTTTAAACTAAGTTCAGTGGTGCAAAACAAAAATATTTAGTAGTGTGCAAGTTGTGACTTCGTGTCCCATTAAATCACAACTAGGCCACGTTTTAACTTTGTTCAACCAGCCGTTGGCAAGCATGGCGTCAACAGTTGATATTTAGCACAACAAAGCAACTGTAATACAATGCAGTTTAATAAACAATAGCAAATGACTTGCATTTCAAATTCAAACTGAAGTTTGCAGCTCAGTTTGGATATAGAATGTTAAGATGTTATGTAAGCTAGGGTGCTTACGTTTAAATGTCACCGCAGCGCTCTAATAGTCTTACTGAAATGTTTGTGTGGGCCTAATTAACGGGATTAAGTTGCTCAGAGGTCCACTGAACTAAAAATGGACATAACTACCTTTTTTAGGTGCATACAGTTGCACCTGACTGTATGATTCTGTTTAGACTTGGCATTTATGATGTATCTTGCTTGATCCGATCGCAAGTAGACAAAAAGTCACATTTTTGTACACACCTGCTTGGTTTCAACATCCCTTTTGTTCACTTCACAAATAGGCTTTTTTTACATCTAATATTGTGGAAAAAAGCTCACCTAGTTTACATACTAATTTAAATGAGAGATGGTGGAAAGCGGTATGCCAAGCAGCTTTAATTTCTGCAATGACATGAACAAAATTACATCAAAGCATGTAGGTTTGTGTTCAAATCAAGAGAACATTATGCATTTCACATTTGGCCTTCAAAACAGGATGTTGATTTCAGGCCATGAAGATTGAATCCTGTATGTTTTGTCCGATTTAACTTGTCATGTAATGTTAATAAATTAGGTCGGTAGGCATATTGTAGGTAGAGTAGATCTAGACGTTAAAAAAAGCATTCTAGAATATGTTATTTACTACTTGTGGATGTGGTTGAAAGTGGGCAAACTTCTCTTGTGATCGTCTTTGCAAAAATGCATCTTAACACCAATTTTATGACAACCAGATTTATAAGTTGCACCTAGTCAAAATTGCATTACTAAGAGAAAATCAAACAGGGGATGGATAAGTCAAATTTTATTATTTCATTAAAAATAATGTACAATAGGCTTTTGTCAGTGCTTAAGTTTTACAGATATTATAAACGTATAAATCAGGGGTCTCCAAACTCAATCCTGGAGGGCCGGTGTCTTGGAGAGTTTAGCTCCAAACCTAATCAATCACACCTGAACCAGCTAATCAAGCTCTAATGCTGGGGTCACACTACAGTTTTTGCGTGCGAAATTTTGTTGTACGTTGCTGTGAAAAGGGACGGGATTAAACAAAATGATTGGACATTAAAAAATGAACAATTAGTCCATGTTTTTAATTTCTGTCCAGAGAGGTCATGTTTTGGTCTTTGATTGGTCTCAAGCAATCATGTGATGCGATTTCCTAGGTCAGAATTCACCAAGCTTGAACTTTCCAATGCAGCAAACTGCAAACTTGTCGCATGAACTTTCGTTTCCGTTCTGACGCATTCACATGCGTATGAATGGAAATCTATGGGGAGAAAAGGGCAGTGTGACCGCAGCTTTAATAAAGGTACTAGAAACCTACTGAAAGGTGTGTTGAAGCAAGATGGAGCTAAACTCAGCAGGACACCGGCCCTCCAGGACTGAGTTTGGACACCCCTGATATAAATCATTGAATGCATTTGAAAAACCTGACTAATTTGTGCATGTGTCCTGCAGCTCCCGCGTCTCCTCCAGCACCACAAGAATATGTCTTCAAACCACCTCAGCGGCCAGACTTTGGCACAATGGGTAGGACAATCAAGCTTCAGGCCAACTTCTTTGAAATGGAAATTCCCAAGTTGGAGGTTTATCATTATGAAATAGACATCAAGCCTGAGAAATGCCCACGGAGAGTTAACCGGTAAAATCTTTTGACTCAACCTAAAATTTCCTACTAATTGTTTGGGTGCTCTGTACTTACTCGCTTGTTTTTTTTCTTTCTTTAGTGAAATAGTTGAGCACATGGTCCAGCACTTTAAAACGCAGATCTTTGGAGATCGAAAGCCTGTGTATGATGGGAGGAAGAATCTCTACACTGCCATGCCTTTACCCATTGGAAGAGACAAAGTATGCACCATTGAAGTCTATGTTAGCTTCATTACTCTAAATGCTACTTAAAATGCTGCACTGAAATCTTTACACCGTATAGATGATCATATATCACTGATGTGCCAAACTGCTCTGTTTAGGTGGAGCTGGAGGTCACGATTCCTGGGGAGGGAAAAGACAGGAGCTTTAAAGTCGCTATAAAGTGGATGTCCTGTGTCAGTCTGCAAGCTTTGCATGAAGCACTCTCTGGACGGCTACCAAACATCCCTTTCGAGACCATTCAGGCTCTGGATGTTGTCATGAGACATTTGCCCTCTATGAGGTAAATAGCAGCTATCTTGACTTTGTTAAGGCTGCACGATAATGGAAATATATGCAATGTTGTTATTGCGATAACGGTATTTCTTATGATGTAACATTTTCCTTGAACGATGCCATTTTCATTAACTATGTTTTTAAGTCATTTATTTATTTAACGATGATTTAATGATGAATAATATAACCAGGTAAAAGATATTTTTCAGATCTAATTCATTCTAATTCAGACAACATCAAAAAACACTGTCAAGGTGCAAACATTTAGTCTTTAAAGCACTATGAATGAGTAAAAAGCTCAGCTCATGTTCTGACTCTGATTGGCTGTAGTCATTTTTCTCTCTTGTCTTGACTCCCGCCATAAGTATTTTGGCCCGTTTCCACTAAGAGGTACAGAACAGTTTGGTACAGATCACCTTTATCAGGCTTGCATTTCCACTGTCTAAAGAGTACCGATGGTACCCTTTGAGTGGGCGTGGTGTATGACAGAAATTTTCAGTCGACGTCATTCATGCTAGAGGAAATGTCAAAGTAAAGCTGTACCAGGTAGTTCACATATATGAGAAGCACTTCTCACAAAACAGATGCTATATACACAAATACTTGTGTATAAATGTTCATTACTAATTTTTCTATGAACATAATTTGATTATAACTACAGATCAAGAAGAGCTAAATAGCCTACTGTAATGCAAAACGGCCTACTGTAACGTCTGCAATTTTATGAAATAAATAAATGCAACATATATGAACACATACAGGCAGTCTCCCCATATGTTACCAACTACAGAAAAGTACACGTAGCATACATTTAGTCCTTATTTGGGTTAAAAAAACACGCAATATATAGCCCACAGTCAGTGCAAACCTCTCATCTGTATCTTTAATCTTCAGCAGCACATGTAACCTCTTGTTAGAAAGTAATTCCATAATTCCCAGTCCATAATAGTCCAAAAGGTGATGATAATAGTTAAAAATAGCAGTTTGTTCATGTTTTAGGTTGCTGAAAGAATCATTTGCTCCTTTGTTTTTTCGGGCTTCTCCTGTTTATCCATTTCTGAAAGAATCTGATGTCAGAAGCACTTCAGTAATCACACGCATGTTGTTATCATCAGCTCAAGAAGTTCGTTAATTCAAATATAAACGCGCATGCGAGGATCGCAAGCTCTCTAGAGAAAGTGAAACCGCTCGAGCTTTTAAACAACCTCGTAAAACAACAACAGGACACGGCAGATTTTGTTCTTTTTGGCTTTGTGGCTTATCAAGACATTCAGCTGTGCATCTGGCTCCGCCTTTTGGTACCCTTTTTTTTTTGCTAAGTACCCTAGGGTACCCAAAAATTTGTACAGTACGGTTCGCTTTTTGGTACCTTTTCGACAGTGAAAATGGCCATAAAAGCGCACCGCACCCTACCGTACCACTAAGTGAAAACTGGCCATTTATTTTTACCTCTGAGTTTACCTTTGGGCCACTCCAGACAATAGATGAACAGCAACTACTGTGGAGGTGGAGATAAAGATAGTAAGGTCCCATCTGAATGGTCAAATTTAGATAAATCACCACTGCATAAAATTGTGCGATTACTTGTATTGCATATCCTATTATCGCAATAACCATAATTTTGTGATATATAGTGCAACCCTACTCCATGATATATTTTTTTCATTTAGCAACTTAAATCTGAGTAAGTGTGCACTGACTTATTCTACATAACTGTTTACTTATTGAACTGTACATACCCACTGCATATGGGCATTTGTAATTATGTACACACCCACTATACATATACACTTGTAATCATGCTTATTTATCTGCATACTACTGATTATTAATAGCAACCTGCACATATATTCATATATTGTTACATATACACTTGTGATCATGTTTATCTATCCCTGTACATATATTCATATATTGTAACATATACACTTGTAATCAAGTTTATTTATCTGCACACTACTGATTATTAATAGCAACCTGCACATATATTCATATATTGTAACATATACACTTGTAATCATGTTTATCTATCTGCACACTACTGATTATTAATAGCAACCTGCACATATATTCATATATTGTAAATCTGTTCATAGCTTATCCAACCTGTATATAATGTTCATAGTACATCCATTCCATCTGTAAATATCACCATAGTTTTCTATAACTGCACTTTATAACTTATTCCTGTATCCTGCACTTGCTGCTATTGCACTGCTGGTTAGACCTAAACTGCATTTCGTTGCATTGTACTTGTACATGTGTAATGACAATAAAGTTGAATCTAATCTAATCTAATATCTCCATTTTGGGAGATCATCATCCACAATGCTGTTGTGGTGTTTTAAGTATTATTGCTGTTTCTACAGGTACACCCCAGTCGGACGTTCATTCTTCACTCCATCGGAGGGCTGCTCTAACCCTCTTGGTGGAGGAAGAGAAGTTTGGTTTGGTTTTCATCAGTCTGTTCGGCCATCACTCTGGAAGATGATGCTCAACATTGATGGTAAGATTGCACTGACCGTATTCGTTGGACTTGATTTTGCACTTTGCTAATGATTTCTCTGTATAATCGTTTTTAGTGTCTGCCACTGCGTTCTACAAAGCTCAACCCGTCATTGAATTCATGTGTGAGGTTTTGGATTTTAAAAGCATCGAAGAGCAGCAAAAGCCCTTAACAGATTCCCAAAGAGTGAAGTTTACCAAGGAGATCAAGGGTAATTTCTTACAGTGGTCATTGACATTTACAACGGCTTTTATGGAGTTTATTTTGGGATAATGTGAATTTTGCATTCATTTTACAGGTTTGAAGGTTGAAATTACTCACTGTGGACAAATGAAGAGGAAGTACAGAGTGTGTAATGTGACGAGAAGACCAGCCAGCCATCAAACGTAAGATTTGACGACACAATTTCTAACTTGCTGTAGTAAAGAATTTTTAGGACAACATACTTATTCAAAATTGTATTTCAATTGTATGAAAAGTTCTCTGATTTATATCCCAAAGCAGCTTAAGCAATCAATTAAATTTATATCAAGCAAGCAACACATGCACACACATAGATTTGGGGTGTAGCACATTTCCCACATGCCATATTTTAAACATTTCTAAACAATTTTTATACTTAAGTTTTTTTTTTTGACTATTTTCATTTTTTTTTTAAATGCATTTTATATTCCTTTTTTAAACTCCAATACTGGTCAGTTTAAAGGATTTAATGTAGATCAAGGGGAATTAAATGCATGTATAAAATGTTTGGAAAAGTTTTATTTAGAAATACTGGCTTATTTTACACTATTTCTGGACATCTAAACACCAGTGTCTTAACATGGTTTTAATCTCAGTACCATGGCCCCTCACTGTAACGTGGTTCAGCTATCGTGGCCTCACATTTTCGCAGATTTTTTATTTTCTTTTGTGCAATTTGACTTTTTTTTTTTATGCGTCCTGATTGGCTGTAGACCATTGTCAATCAATCTCCTTCATGTCTCCTGTACCGTACAGAATGCATTCAGCTTGACAAATTAACATAAATCTTTGATCGCTATCAGTGTGAGTTTTAACAAGGATGCCCCACAGCGCCTTGCATTTTAGAATTGTAAATATAGGTTTCTATCAGGGTTTATATAGGTTTCTCAAGCTCCCAGCGTCGCCCAGATATGACTCGGGACTGTTCATATTTTTGCCGTGGCACAGAGCGCCGTCTGAATAATTTAATTTTAAGTAACATGCAAATGTGCGTGTACTGTGTGCGTTACTTCCAACTGTCATGTGCGAGGCGCATCCGGTGTGCAATCCCCTTAAGAATGGAGTCTGCTTAAGTTTTTTGAATCAGTGACTGCACGAAAAAGAACATTACACTGGATGCCAACATTATCCGCACAAAAGCTAAAAAGCTTTATAAACGTTTTGCTAACAGTGATGAATGTTTGCGTCTGACAGCAGGTTTTGATCTTTGGTTTTATTCTATAACACTGAACTTATTTTTCTGGACTTTTTTTTTTTTTTTTTTACTTTGAGAGTGTTTAAACAAGAGAAAAGAGTGAAAATGCTAATTCCTGTCTGAGAAAAATGTGTAGTAAGGGATTTTACAGCCTTAAAGCATCTATAATAATTGTACAAAAAATAATAAAGCTGACTACAAGGATTTCGCCTGTTGAGAGTTATTTTTAGAATGCAACTCCCGCAAATAAAGAGGGACCTCTGTACACCCAAAAAATATTTTTGCTTCTTGTTCAAACTGCTTATTTAATATAAGCTGAAAAAACACTAAAAAAAGCAGGACAAATTTAATGCATTAAACTTGACGGATTTGTGTTGAGACCACATGGTTGAATTGTGTGGAACCATGCGTTTTGTATAGTGTATTCTATTTTTTGTCATCACATTTAATATTTCTCATTGAAAGATTCATTATTTTGAAGCTGATGTCTTTAAAATGTATTTTGTTTGTCTCTAGGTTTCCTTTGCAGCAAGAGAATGGTCAGACCATTGAATGCACTGTCGCCCAGTACTTCAAGGATAAGTACAAACTGGTGCTTCGATACCCACATCTCCCATGTTTACAAGTTGGTCAGGAGCAGAAACACACCTACCTTCCGTTGGAGGTTGGTTGAAACCACATCCTGGACTTGCTTTTCCCCCTTTTTCTCTCATTTCCTTTTCTAAAATTTGTTGTTATTATTATTTAAAAAATTTCAGGTCTGCAACATTGTAGCCGGGCAGCGATGCATCAAGAAACTGACAGACAATCAGACCTCCACTATGATACGTGCCACAGCCAGGTCTGCGCCCGACCGTCAGGACGAGATCAGCAAACTGGTATGCTCTTTATCCATTCTTTTGCAGTTTCCCAAGCCTCGTATACACCTGGTATTTCATCAATCCAATCTCAAATGAACAACAATGAATACAGATGTAAATTAAGTCTACAATGTTTTTCAACCACCTCTAGAGATAGTTGGATTGGATTGCTTTTGTAGTGTAAACATTTGTGGTTGAATGCAATCACACGGCCACAACAGACCACCTTCTCTCTGCCTACTGACTAAGCACATGGTTGTTGTGGGTTGGGTTGTGAAAGCACACAAAAACAAGATACAGTGGTCTCTTGTTTTTTGCAGCAGTCACATTCTAAAAAAAAAACCTGCAATAGATGAAATACTTTCACATTTATTATACTTTTTTTTTTACATTGTTTTCTTTATCTTAAAGCTGTAAAAACCCCTCATTACACACTTTCTACACTTTTCTCTCTTATTTAAACACATTGAAAGTTCAAAATATAAGTCCAGTATTATAGAATGTAACTAAAGACCTAGTTTTTCAGGCCCAAACATTTGTTTGAGAAGATAATTTTATTCTGTAATGGCGCCCCACAGCCTTGTAACGTCTATCTTCCTTTAATCATGTCCAGAAGAACTTTTTGTTTTATGGTCAGCATCTTCCTCTTATTTTTGGGTGCTACCGAGGGCACCTTTGTTAGTGCAGAACGTTTTGTCGACATTGTGGGGTTTGTTGGGGAGAAAACTTGCAAACAGAGATTTATTGACTGTAGTCTACAGCCAATCAGGACACAGAACAATGCACTAATCAAGACGCAGAACACAATGCGCTGTAAAAAAAAAAGCATGTCAAATTCCACAAAATCTGCAAGGCTACGAAAGGTGAACCCCTTATAGTAAGGGACCACTTTATTCATATGTAAGTGTTATATCATAACACACAGTATACAATTGAAATTGTAGTTGTCATCCACATCATTTCTTTGCTAGCTTTGCCCCTCACTGCGTAATATGTGTTCACGTAAAACTTGTGGAACTTGTAGTTCTTCCACAAAAGTAATGTTGGAAGAGTCTTAAAGAAATTCAAACACAAGAGAGACTTTAAACTGATGTTAAATAAAGCTGGACCATTTCATATGGGGTATATGCACACAGACTTTTAATTTCAGTAAAGCCCCAGCCTCAGGATTTCCTTCTTAATTGTCATCCCATATAAAATCGCCACGTTTAAGATCTTTTTTTTTTTTTTTTTTTTTTTTTTTTAAGAAATCAGAAGCAATCTTCCTTGTCTGGCTGAGATACAATATGAAGTGGGTATCGGACCAAACAAGATGCACTGCGTTAAATTATATTTCTCTGCGCCCTGTCTTTAAAATATGGAAATTATGACATATATAAAACAAATGTATGTTAAAATTTTCAGTTTAACAGTTGTTTATTTTTTTCACATTTTTTCCCCTCCCTTCATTTTATTTTAATATATTTTAATTTCTGTCTAAATTATTTTATTTCTTTATTTTACATTTGCCAAGCCTATTGTGACTCGTTGTGTGTGTATATATGTACAATAGATGAGTGAACATAAAATGGAACTTTTAATAACTTGTATTATATGTATGTATATATCATGACATGATGTAAAACAGATTAAAATAGGCATAACATTGTTTAGAAATGGTGCAGTGGGGCGGGGGGCTCTGTTGGAGCAAAAATTATTTGTCGCTGTTTGTCAAATAATTTTGAAATTAATGTTTTATTGACCAATACATTAATAAAATTTTTTGGAAAAAGTACTGAATAATATTTACAACTGAATAGTATTGTATTTTCAATGGAGTTTCTGTGCTAGCCTGCTTTCATCGGAAGTTCATCATTGGCTGAACAACACTAGCTGTGCATATAGCCCATTGCAACACTGAAAATGGACATTAGTAACAGGTGTGAACCAGAGCATTAAATTTCACCCTTACCTTCATTTGTTTGCAACAGATGAGAAGTGCCAACTTCAATACAGATCCTTATGTGCGTGAGTTTGGAGTCATGGTAAGAGACGATATGACTGAAGTCAATGGTCGGGTTCTTCAAGCACCGTCGATTCTCTATGGTGGAAGGGTAAGAATCTCCTCTGCTCAACTCAGCATTTGGTTGAATCCCTGTCTAATTTGGTCATGTCTTTGGCTGTTTCAGAACAAAGCAATAGCAACCCCAGTCCAGGGCGTGTGGGACATGAGGAACAAGCAGTTCCACACAGGGATTGAAATCAAAGTTTGGGCCATTGCCTGCTTTGCCCCACAGAGGCAGTGCACAGAACTCCTGCTGAAGTAAGTCAACTTTAAAGTACACATGAACCAGAAGCTGCGTTCGCTTTTTTTTTTTCATATTGTGATGCAGTCGCTATAGAAACAGAATATTAAATAAGAAATCAGTTGCCGTGACTTGTTTTTTCTGCTGCAAGCTGATTGGATGTAGCAAAGTAGGCATTTCATTCAGAAAGATCAGGAAAGGGCTTCGGGAGAGTTATTATAATCTAACAGTCATCACCTCATCAGTTCTGTTGGCTGTCAAAATTGACAGCTGAAGGAGAGTTGAGTATGTTGGCCACGCCCAATACCTTAGACAAACGTAATCTGAGAAGTTAACCAAAAAACCAGGAAGTGCATTTTCAGATTTCAATTATTAATTATTATTATTATTATTATTATTATTATTAATAAAATGCACAGATAAATTGTTCACCACAACTAGCAATATCAGCTAAAAAATCATATGGTTAGTTTTGATTTCATTCATGCATTCATTCATTTTCTTATCGTATTAGTCCCTTTATCAATCTGGGGTCGCCACAGCGGAATGCACCGCCAACTTTCCAGCACGTTTTTACGCAGCGGATGACCTTCCAGCTGCAATCCATCTCTGGGAAACATCCCCACACACCCATTCATACACTACGGACAATTTAGCTTACTCAATTCACCTGTACTGCATGTCTTTGGACTGTGGGGGAAACCAGAGCACCCGAAGGAAACCCATGCGAACCCAGGGAGAACATGCAAACTCCAGGCTCAAATCAGTGACCCAGCGACCTTCTTGCTGTGAGGCGACAGTGCTACCTACTGCGCCACTACTTTGCCTGTTTTTATTTGTACCTTAATCTGCCTGTTTTGTCATAGAGAAATATTAGCATTTAAGGAAATTATTTTACAAAAGTAAATACTGACCCAGATTTTTATACTATGTTTGTATCCTCAGGGCCTTCACTGACCAGCTTCGTAAGATCTCACGTGATGCTGGGATGCCCATTCAGGGCCAGCCGTGCTTTTGCAAATATGCCCAGGGAGCAGACAGTGTGGAGCCCATGTTCAAACACCTCAAGTACACTTATCAAGGGTTACAGTTGGTGGTGGTCATCTTACCCGGCAAGACTCCTGTTTATGGTAATTTAATTATTATTATTATTATTTTTTTTTTCATCTCATATCTTTAGTGTATTTTTTACACACTCTAAATGCTAAAATTCTTACAGCTGAGGTGAAGCGTGTTGGAGACACTGTTCTCGGCATGGCCACGCAGTGTGTCCAGGTGAAGAATGTGCAGAAGACCACACCTCAAACCCTTTCTAACCTCTGCCTCAAGATTAACGTCAAACTGGGTGGAGTCAACAACATTCTTCTTCCACAGGGCAGGTGAGGGCAGCTGTTACAAATGCCTTTGACATGCAGAAAGCTTGAGGCAATTTCTTGTTGTCCTTTACGTCCTTTGATGCTTTCCCATGAAACTCAAAGGGTTAGTTCACTCGAAAATATGTAGTCTGTCACCCATTGATCATTCCAAACCTGTAAGACTTGGGTTATTCTTGGGAACAAAATTATCTCACTTTATTTTGTTAAGCAATTATATTCATTTATAGCAGCTCAGTCAATATGAATTGAGTTCACTACACCATATTGACCTTTTTCGGTCTAAGTTACTTTGACTTGCAATGGAAGGACAGAGATCTCAACAGATTTCATTACGTCTTAATTTGTGTTTCAAAGTTTAACCAAAAGTCGAATAGTTTGGGAACGATTTAAGGATGAGTTAATGATAAGAGAATTAAGATTTTTGTTTGAACCATCCTTTCAAAATGACAGAATAATACAGCTATTTTCTTTTTATTTACTTTTTATTTTATTTTTTTTTTACTTTAATTTTTTTGCACTCGTTATTATATATATTTTTTTAATTATTTATTTATTTATTTATTTATTTTTGTCTTAGGCCCTTGGTGTTCCAGCAACCAGTTATCTTTTTGGGTGCAGATGTGACTCATCCACCAGCTGGAGATGGCAAGAAACCCTCAATTGCTGCTGTAAGCCTGGCAAACCTCTGATATTTTAAGGCTGATAATGCTCATTGCACAATGCCAAGCAGTGCTAATACCACAAATGTGACCAATTTCTACTTGAAGTACACGATTTAAGGCTTTTAATGGGTTTCAGAAATGTTTTTAAGTATAATAATTTTACACGTACGGCATTTAGGTCGTTGGCAGTATGGATGCCCACCCAAGCAGATACTGTGCCACAGTGCGGGTGCAGCAGCACCGGCAGGACATCATTCAGGATCTGGCAACCATGGTCAGAGAGTTACTCATCCAGTTCTACAAATCCACACGCTTCAAACCAACACGCATCATCTACTACAGAGACGGCATCTCTGAAGGCCAGTTTAACCAGGTAAGCTGCAGGACAAGATCTCTTGTTAATACATGCTAAGTAGTACTGCAATGTATTATTTGAAGGCGACCTATTATGCAAAAATTTATTTTGTAAGGGGTTTGTGTGGTAACAGTCTGTGAATAAAACCAGCTTCTAATGATAAAAATTTATTAATTCTATTTTTTTTTAATAATCACACCTAAGAAAACTGCAGAAACACTTTGACTGACAGTCTCCCTTTGTATGTAACACTTTAGTTGACAGTCTCCCTTTATATGTGCCATCAGAGGGGAAAGCCCCGCCCACTAGTAAGATCTTACCCTCATTAGCATAGGACTTTAGTCTTTTTTTTTATCTGCTACTATGCTGATACATTTGTAGCTCCGCCCTCTTTTGAAAACAACACAATCTAATTTGAATTTAAAGCGACAGCCACATAATCAGCACAATTATGACCAAAGCTTAAAAGGGGCAGTTTCAAACATTATTTGTGTGGTATTTTAATCTGAAAACTTTGCACACATTCTCCAAAGACATCAGAGACTTATTTTACTTCTTGTAAAAAGGGGCACAATGCCTCCCCTTTTATTGTTGTCATCTTGTTTCGTCCTTGCAGGTTCTACAGCATGAGCTGCTGGCTATTCGTGAGGCCTGCATCAAGCTGGAGAAAGATTATCAGCCGGGTATCACCTTCGTTGTAGTACAGAAGAGACACCACACCAGACTCTTCTGCATGGACAGGAACGAACGGGTTTGTTATTATGCATCTAATCTCCATACAGGTGTCACTGGAGGGAATCACACATTTACACACAGATGATAACTTTCTGCATTCAAAGTGTAACAGTGGGAAAATAATATAGACCGTTTAGAGGGATGTAAACAAAAACAGTGGTCCCAACGTATTTCCTGTTTTACATTTTTCTATCGCTTTCGAGAATCTAAAAAGAGCCACATATTGATAAATAATGTCATGATAGCTGTTTTAGCATGACGTTATGATTGAATCGTCTCTTGTTACAGTTATGAAATAGTTTTATAACAAGCAGGAAATGTTCATGGGCCAATGAACCAAGTACCAAGTAAAGCTCTAGTTTTTTTTTAAATGTGTGCATTAGGTTTGTCATCCACATGCAGAACACTTTATGTGCAGCTTGCATGCGTTTTGAATATTTTGTTGCACTACTAAATTGTTCCACAAGGTGTCAACACTAAATCAGGCTGTTTCACAGTCAAAAATATGGAGGCAAAACTAATGAAGACATTTTTTTATCCCTCATGAATTTTTGTTGTGACAAAGCACATGCATTGGACATTAGCAAATCTTTCAAGTGCCTATGTGTTTAGCATGTGTTTTTCCAATCTACTAAATGGAGTAGACTACTAATATACTACTACTTTAAAAAAAATCTGTTTTAAAAACAGTAAAATAAATACTTTTTAAGGAAACATGGAAACCAAAGAGACATACAATACAAATGTCAAAGTCCACCGATTACAATCTTACTTTCGTATTTATTGTTGATAAAATGTTGCTATATATTTGTTAAGGGTTACATATCAAAGATCAACAGGCTCCAGATATATATAAAATAAAGTACCACAATAAAATTAAAACAGTAGATTTCTTCTCAACCATTTACCCCTGTATGCAGAAATTTAGTAGGCTTGTTGTCTCAATGAAAATGTCAGTACTTCCATGTCATACACCTCTTTTACAATATCATGCCATTCACCTACAGATGGAGGATCTTCCTTGAGCCATTTCTTTGTAATTACCTTTGTAATTACCTTTTTTCTAGTTATTAGAAGTATGTTAAGAAGGTGTGCATCATTTTTGGTATTACTGAAGAGTAAATTCCCAGGTACATAGTTTTAAAATTACATTCCAGATTCAGCCCCATTATTGCATTTATCTCTTTGTTCAAATCTTGCCAATAGGTGTGTATCACAATCCCAAAATATGTGGAAATGATCTGCCATTACATTTCCACATTTTCTCCAGCATTCAAAAGTTTTTTTATCTTTAGTTTGAAAGTATTTTATTTAAGCAAGTAGAATATACTTTGAAAGGCTACAAGTACATTTAAACATATACTTTGGACTTAAGTAATCTGTTAGCACATTCCCTTCAACAAATTTTCATTTTGTAATTGTGAAACAGAGGACGTCTGCTAACCTTTTCTGACTTGTTTTATGTTTAATGCATTTCATGTATTTTTGCATTTGCATTCAAGGTTGGAAAGAGTGGAAACATCCCTGCTGGCACCACTGTCGACACCAAAATTACTCATCCATTCGAGTTTGACTTTTATCTTTGCAGTCATGCTGGAATTCAGGTACCATTGAATATTAATTTATCTGAATATATATATATATAAATATTAATGTTTATTCAGTGCATATAATCAGGTGAAGGTTATAGATAGTTCTTCAAAACTGCTAATTGTCCCCAGGGAACCAGTAGGCCGTCCCACTATCATGTGCTGTGGGACGACAACCATTTCACCTCTGACGAGCTGCAGGTCCTCACCTACCAGCTGTGCCACACCTATGTTCGCTGCACCCGCTCGGTCTCCATTCCTGCACCAGCCTATTACGCCCACTTGGTGGCGTTTCGCGCCCGCTACCACTTGGTTGACAAAGAACATGACAGGTACTGATGGCAAGAATTTTACTCTCCTAAAATGTATAGCATGGTTTATTACCAAAAAAATCTAAAGGTGTCTAGTCAATCTGAATTGGTCTGAACATGATGCTTTATAACATTAAGACCCAATCCCAATTCTATTTTTGTACTCCTTCCCCTTGCCCCTTGAAACAGTGTGAAGGAGAGGGCTTTCAAATTTACCCCTAAGAAATGAGACACCACTACAGCACCAGCACACATCATCATAAGTCATCGTGGTCTTTTACTACATATTAGATTGACAGTGATGACTGATGTAGTTATTCCAGTTGCGTTATTTTTTTGGTATTTATCTTCAGGAAATTACTGAAGGCAATGATATGCTATCAAAACGATATAATGATGTAATAACTGTGGATCGTAACTTTAGTGTGCATTTACACTGTGGCCATATTTATCTATGTAAACACACCAAAAACAACATTAACATTATAGCAGACGCTGTTAAAAGCTCATTTCTGGTCACCAGCCTTTTCTGACAGGGTATTCAAGTGTCATTGATTGACACCTTCAAACTAAAGAGAATTGGGATACCCCTACCCTTAAGAGCTAAGGGGTGGAAGTTAGATTGGGCCTAAGAAGAGGCTCTATAGCCTTGTTTGGTTTTAATCTGCATCGTATATATAAATATTACAATATATTAATATATGTTTTAATGTGATTATCACATTGCAGAGGCAGAATTGTATTCAAATAAATATACATGCTAATGCTTTCCGACTCAGCATAGCATTCACATCACCTGATGTTAATGCATGAAAATGATGCTTCAGTCTTAAACTGGCAATGCATATTTTTTACACATTACTTGATTTTATTTTACTCTGAACTTAAAAATCATATTTAACTTGCAATGAATTTTTGTGTGAATTTTATCTATTTATATTTTATATATTTGTATAAGTAACTTTTTTAGTGTAATATGAATTGGTTTTTATCATGGAATATTTTATGTATATCCATTTTGCCACAAAATAGCCATGAGTTGCTGATGTGGCAATAAATAAATACAAAATACATACATTTATTTTATACTAGAGTTGTATATTACAATATTTTATTTGTTACATTTTTATAAAGGTAATAAATAAAACGATAAATTAGTTACATTTATTAAATGACCAATTATTATTCTTCAAAAATACTAAAATGTGTGCTTTTTCACTTACACTGGACAGATTTGGTGTAGGGTTAACTTTGAAACAGTTAGAAATTGGTAGAAAAAATGCAAAGAAAGGCAGTAATAGTGTTTTTTCCTTGTGAAACAAACTACAGAAATCAAATTAAAGTATTAAAACAATAAAAACAGGAAGTTTTGTTATGAATTTATTTTTTATTTTTATAGAAAGCCTTTTGAACGAGAGTTCTTCAGCTATAATAGTATTTTCACTGCAGATGAACCCCTACAAAATCATAATTGGTTCATAATTAATTGTTTTCTTATTTACCTTTTCAAGTTACTTAATGGTAATTCTTGAATTTTAATTTGTTTTCTCAGAGAGATAAAATGCTCCATTACTTTTCCCCCTAATATCACTCAGCCCTGTTTTGGTGGTAATTTTCTTTAGGGTAAATAAAGTCCTTCTTCTATACAATCTGCTAAAGTGATATTTGTTATACAGTAGTTCAATGAAGCTCCTATGAGTGTCCTTTACACCACAGTAAACCAGATGTCACAGACTTTTATGAAATACAGGACTGAAGCTTTAAATTTGACATTAATATCCCACTAAACCTGAGTTTCTGTGTGTGTTGTGTTTGTTCTCTGGCAGTGCTGAAGGCAGTCACACATCAGGTCAGAGTAACGGCAGAGATCAACAAGCCCTGGCCAAAGCTGTGCAGATCCACCAGGACACACTGCGCACCATGTACTTCGCCTGAACAAAGCCAGAACCAAGCCCCACAATCCTGAAAACAGCACGGTGTGTGTGTATATGTGTGTGTGTGTGTGCGTGTGTGTAATTTTAAGTGTTATACAAACGAGACCCTTCAAATGGAGACAAAATGAGGACCGCCATGCTGTTCGACTTTTAACTGCCCCTTAATTCGGTTTCCAAACATATTTAATATCCAAGCTGATATGTGAATTTTTATTCATTTATCTTTTAATTTTGTTCCTCGTTTGGTTCAGTGGGCATGGTTGTGTATCTCTTGTGCATGTCAGATTAGAGGTTAACGCGTTTACATAGTCAATCCCAAAAAATTCTGACTTTTTTTACACTGAAAGTTACATTTGCATCCAAGCGGGCTTGATTTAGTACTATTGCCAAGGCAGGTGATGGAGACTGTTGAACATTAGTTTTTACAAACTCATCAAACCAATGGATTCGGGTCAGTTTAGGACTTCACGGATCAGGTTTAGGGCTTGTGGCGATGCAGTTTCCACAGCTAAATTATTTATCAGCGAACGCAAGTGCACTGACCAGAAGGGGACTTCAGGACAAAAGTACTTATCCTGTTTTATTTCATCTATTTGTGCTAATATGATTTATTTTCTTCTTCTAGTGGTGTGATTTCTTGTTCAGTCCAGGGCTCAGTCGACCTACTGTGTACCTGTCCGCCAATGATCATGTGTCAGTACAGAATCATGAACGCATTTGGATGTAGGAATTGTTTTGACAATCAGTTTTCTGCCGCTCATATGAGACTGGTTCTCATTCGTTTTTCCTGTGCCGGGTTCTCAGTGCGGAAACGACTCTGTACTGTGGATAGATGTCCTGAAAAGTACTATTATCTTGCATTAAGATGAGATTATCTTTCAATTGTACTGCCATTTTCGCTGGTTTATCCGCCGTGATTGTAACAACCTCAAGTTTCGGTCGTTTGTGACATCAAAATTTAATCACATTTCACTTTAAGCACCTATTCGTTGTTCATAATGTTCCCCAAATTGAAACTTGAGGTGACTTTTGTCAGTAATATTAGGGAAAGTGGAGCCCTGTGATTTTTGCTTGGTTCTTTGTGCTGTTTTCAGTGGTGAAGTTTGACTGTGTTTTGCTGACAGGGTCGTCGTCGCACTCCAGCAGGCAATCAAAACTTTTAAAGAACGATACCAATATCAGAATTTTTCACACAACGAAGTCAGAATGAAAATTTCAAATGCACCTTAGATTGTTTGTTTTTTTCCCTAACTCGCGTGTTCCCATGATGAGAATTTTTCGTATCTCTTTCCAACACTCAAGATAGTTTCTAAATATTTAATCTTTCTTTCATAGACCTTTCATAGAGTCATGAGGCGAGCGCTGAGGCGTTTATAATGAATCGAAAACATTTATTTAGTGTAAATCAGTCCAAATGGAGCTTGAATTGAAGCGCAATACGTTGTTTGTTTTTGTGTGTGTGTGTGTGTGTCGGTGAACTGATTTCTTGTAAACAGCCTTCTCAAGCATATCATGATGTGTAGTGGTCGATCTATCGAGTCTCGTTAGCGAATTAACCGTAAGATCACTTCCCCAAATAATGCTTCAATTCTGAACTTGAAATTCTTGGGAATATTTTTAACCATCTTTTTTTCTAACTATGCATTCTTAACCAAGAGATTCTAGTGGTATGTTTGTGTATATGAATTATGAATTTAGAACGTTTGTAATGTAGTCCTTTTCATGCCGGGTACTTTTAGTAGTGTAAATAGTTCCAGCCCTGTACCCGCTGTAGCAGTATTAGCTTACAAAATACTCTATTTTTATTAACAATTGGATGTTCTTTATATGGCTCTCAATTATTCCTGTTAGCCAAACAAGATTACTATGTACTTGTAGTCGGTGTCCTACCATAACTGAAGCACAATAGGACATTATAATTGTAGGTGCTAGAGTTTATTCTTGAGACTACCATTTGTTTTTTTTATCGTCACCTTTTAAACGAGAAGCATGGAGTGCTTGTTTGTTTTGTTTATTTTATTATTTTTATCTATGACATTTAACCCAACCCAACAGACTGTGTATAAGGGGCATTTTAATTTATCTTCCAATACTTGACTAGAGTTCTGTTATTATTTGGCGCTGATCTTGTAACTCGTGAAATTTAGATGCACTTTTTTTTTTTTTTTTTTTTTTTTTTTTTGAGAGCAATGGATACATCCCTAGTTTACCTTCGGTGGCTAAATGGATTTTGAGTATGCTAACTGTGTGCAGTTGTGTGGAAATGACTAGATGTCCTACCTCTTGTTACCTGTTACTTGCATTATGGTAACATTACCGCACTGGTCATTTCCTCATAATTGCATTAAGTGGAAGTTGATGATCTTGCTCTAAAGTGGCGTCTTTGTTAATTCATGTTTTGTTTCAGAGGCCATACCTGCTGCCATTTAGCCTAGACGCTTATTGTTTTATTGGTAGTTTTAAGCTATGTATTCAAAGCTACGATTGAGTGCTGCGAGTTTCAAATGTCGTACGTTTGATGTTTTGAAGTCAGACGTGAATCCAAAAAGAATATTAAATGCTTGGGTGTGCACCATCAGATGTTCCTAAAATGTGTAGTGTGGATTCAAGTTGATTGCTTTCTGCCCTTTATAATTCGCAGCGCGTTGTTGCTTTATCCATGTACTCGTTTAAATGTGTCACGTAGTTTTCCTGTATCTTTTTTTTTTTAAGGTTTGAATAATATTATTTATCTTTTAGCATCAGAAACATGAGATGAAATCATCGCTCAAACTACTTTTTACATCGATTTTTCTCTTGAACAATCAGATTTTTATTTCTTCGAAACCATTATATTTCATTCTCATGAACTGCTCTGTTTAGTTGTTTTCAGAAGTTACTGAGTTTTTAGTATTTGAACCTGTTTGAAATCAGCACCTTAGTCAAAAGGTCTACAACATATGCAATTTCTCAAGTATGAAATATGAGATGTTTTTGCACTATATCAGAAGAGGTGTTAATAATTTGTGGAAGGTTAGAGAGGAGAAGAACCATCAAGTTTAGACTAGTCTTGGCCTCGTTTCTTTGTTCATGTACAATCATATTGGCACTAACCTATTCAAAGTTGACACATTAGAAGGTCTTGAGTTCTTACGCTATGCAAAAACTCATTTCCATTTAGAGCCGTCGCTCTTTTTATACATGGTGTTCTTGCAGAACAAGTTGCGTTTACCAAATTGAGTTTGGGAATTTGAGTAAACTCAAATCCCATTTTATATGTTTTCCAAACCTGTTTTCTGTTTAATGAGGACATGAGTCTGATGCAAATTTTTTATCGAAATAATTCCGTTAAATGCAAATGGCCAAGGACAGAGGGAGAAGAATGAAGTAAGGTGCTGGTTTTGTAGAGACCGTCACGATAATCTATGCTGCAGCATCTCTGTTTCAGATCTTAACAGGCACATATAGTGTTAACTGAAAATTGAATTGGTGCCTCTGAAAGCTTTGAATTGTTTATCCGTCAATGTTACGCCATTAACATTTTATGGATCGCTCTTTCATCATCATTTCTAGATTGCTGCTTGAGTGAAGCTTGTATATTGCTTTGGCGAGGTTCTGTGTGGGGTTACAGTGTCCACATGCTTCTTTGTTTTACACTTTATTGTTTGAATAAAACTAGTTGATTGCCCCAATAAATATTATTTAAAAACCATAAACGCCAGTCTCATCAAAGGTTAGAGCCCCTAATCTTAAAAGATATATTTGCTAATGTATTGGCATTAGAACTTTGCACTAGTGTTCTGAAGCAGAAATGTACGCCTCTCTTCACATACCGTGATCGTTTTGTAATTCCTAAGGTGGCAAGTTTCAAAGATGCCAGCCTTATGACCTGCTACAACCATACGGATACAAGCGAACAGTTTGAATGTACTTCATACGCCTGCATACTGGTTAAGAACCTCCATTATTTTAATCCGTTTGCTTGTTTTGTTTTATGCATGCACATTGAAAGCAGCTTTGAGTCGTTGAACTTTTTATCCATGCATACTTTGAACTGTATCTCAAAACTCATCGTTGCTTTAAATTAATAGTGGCAACATTTGGACGGATGGTTCAGAATACACACTGGCACAAAGATCTGATGTTTGTGGTGCTGTACTGTAAAAAGTGTACATAAGGCAGCGTTTTCTGTGTGTTTTTTTGCCTATTACTGCTCTTGTTTGACAGATTAGAAGTTTCATCTAAAGGGTTTTTGAGCTATACAACAATACCCATGTACCCAACAAGCCAAATTCACACTCGTATGAAGCCCTTTTGCTTTACCAGCTCTGTGGTGGTCCTGTAATCATGGCAGTGGTACTTGTGCACAAACTAAACCACAGATCAGTTGCCATTTAGCTAGTTGTCTGATTGGGGAATGATGGTTTCCGAACATGTCCCCTTTACTATTTTTAAAATGAATCTAAATGACCAAAATTTTTGCAAGGGATTAATTTTTTTTTCCAAAACGAGCACAGTTCCATTAATTCATTATAAATCATGCTAAAATGGTATTTATTCGAATATAAGCATCACAGTTGGGTCTTGTGACTGATTCATCTGAATAACTGAGAGCTTCATCATGACCTGGCTTTTTAAACCAACTTGGAGAAGAAAAAAGAAAAAAAAAACTACCTCAATAGTGTCGGGTGCTAATGTTAAAATATCCCTTATATGTATATGTGCTCATGACAAAGAACAATAATCGTGACCAAACAACACAAGCCTATACTGTGTATTACGTGTTTAGTTTTTATTATTTGTGTATGATGGATCAACATGAGGGATGTAACAAAACTGCGGTGGACCAAAATAAATCGTTTCCCTTTTTAAAATGTAGTTTTCAATATGCATCAGTTTTATTCGAATTAAATGGAGCTGTTCTCAGATCCTCTGGAGAACAAATGGTCAAGAATGAGCGTTCAGGCCAAGATTGTTGCCAAAACACGGTTTCGTTTTGTCAGACGTCGTGTTGAGTTGGTTGATCTAGAATTGTGCCATATTATGGAGAACATACAGGACAGTAAACGTCCAATGACCACTGCTCTGTGTCTAAAGCGTGTTCCTATTAAGCGGCTTGTCAACCTGTGTCAGCTTTTGGAGTGCTAGCGTTATACTTGATTCTTCTACTTGATTTGTATCCAGTATTGCAATAAAAACTTCGCACTCATCCGATCCGGAACTGTTCGATGAAAGCTCCACGGCGTTTTTTTTGTTTTTGTTTTTAAGCTATCTGTATTTAAACTGTCATGTGACGTCGCTACATTTTATGAAGGGAATTTTTAATTTGACTTCTCTCAAACTCTGATTAAGGACGCGTTGGGGCGTCCTGATACACTGGCATTTGAGTTTCTCGAGGGAGAGCATAATAAGGTACAAAAGGTTGTGTGGAAATCAGTTACGATTCTCGTTTCTCATTGGTGAGCTCAATAACGTCCAGCGTGTTTTTATGTCGTGTTTGTGTGCCTTTGGAAATCTCTCCCGACCCTGATCAAGGGACTGTCCTTTATTCATTTGATGCTCGGCGCCACATCATTTATCATGCAACCTTGAGTGAATGCTGCATAGAATGATCAGTATTTGTATTTTGCACTTTCTAAGCAGTTTTAAAGGACGCCCTGTTGTAATTGGGGCGCACAGACTATTTAAGACGAGGTATTTTCTGCTACAATAGGAATTTTAAGGAACCATATGACTCGTTGGTTGAAAAAAAATAAAGTGTATAGATGTGAAGTACCTCATAAGCCTGATAAATGCTGCATAAACTCTTCATTTATTGTTCTTTTGTGAATCTATTTTCCCCTATTGGAAGGTTTGATGTGCACAACAGCGCAAAGCACCTTCATTTATGACATTGAGGCGCTCTAAAACCAGTTATGCAAGTCAAATGCGAGGTTTTCGGTCATATTCACTGACATTATAAGACATTAGCAAGCCTCTAGCTTCAGCTTTGCATCACAGCTATTGGATACGTAGTGACGTTTGCAGTCAAAAGTTACAGTTGACTCAGGTATCGCCATTAAGGGCTGTATCTGCTTTTGCCTCCCATTTTCCCTCACCTGTGTCTTAACGTAGCCTTAGAACTGCATTCATGGATGGATAGATCATAGTGAAGAATATCTGGCCTTAAAAATATGCACTATCAACCACAACATGCAAGTCACTACAGATCAGATCTTTCGTTTTCTGCCATAAAACTACCTCCGAGAATGTAGGAGTGTCCTGGAACTGACACATCAAGGTTTATTTTCATTTTTAAGGTTATAATCTGTAATCGACAATCATCTTTTAGTTTATTAAATTCGCAGTATGAGTTACAGTTCATTCTGGGACGCTCTAGTTTTGTTTCTTTATGAAAAGCGTGTCCATGTTAGTCATGGAAGAGCCAAGCGACCAACGTTTCTAGCTGAAGGTTTTCTTGCACTGCTTTGTGACGTCAAACCTTCCTCTTTTTTTTTTTTTACATCAGCAAATTATCTTTCATTTAACCTCGTGTTTTGCTCCTTTATAACATGCCAAATTAAATTTGCTGTCATTCCTGTCATGGTAAAGTCTTTAATTTCTGATTCATGTGTTTGCATTCACTGCTAAGCTCTATGTTGTTGTTTCTTGGTAATGTAAAGTGAGTTTATTTCTTTTTTTTTTTTTTTTTTTTAACAAGTAAGATTACAACCAAGATATGCTGTAAACCCTGCTAAGACATAATGTGAAAACGTATCATTTAATATAGCTCACTTTTGCTTGACTGTGTATTGCATCATTTAATAAAGTTAATTTCCTCTTAATGTTGTGTCTTCCTGATGCTGGTTCTTTCTGCTGCTTTTGCCAGCTTTTCTCCCATTCCTGATGGCTGAGATCATGTTGAAATCCCTCTACACTTATGTTTTTCTGGATCGCCAAACAGCCATCTGCAAGTAAACACAGATTGTGTGGATTCTTGCAAACCCAAAAACAATGTTGCCTGAGGCCGGCGCTGGTGTTTGCTCTCTCTTTTTTCCGACTGGAGTCCAGAACTAAGCTTTCTGTTGTACAGTTTGCACACTCTTATGCCATCTTTTAGGGGTTTGTTCATTCAGAAGTGATTATATTCAGTTCTCGGTTAATTCGTTTGTACTATAAAAGGAGAATTTGTAATGGTGCAATGCCACCTAACGCATTTCAGCTGTTCTGGTGGAGTTACAATAAAAGTCAATTGAAAGGTGACGATGTAAAATAAGTCCCTGGAGTGTGTATGTGAAGTTTCAGCTCGTATACACTACCTGACAAACATCTTGTCGCCTATCCAAGTTTTAAGAACAACAAATAATAACTTCTGATTATTTGGTATCAGTGGCTTATATGAAAGGCAAAGGCCTCTAGATTATACTTACTTTACCAAAATAAAATATGATCATGCCTTGATTTTTAATAATTTAATTAGCACAGTAAGGTCTGAACTTTTACTTAGACAAAAGTCTTGTCACTTAACAGAAATGATGTCCAGTATAGAATATAAGCGTTCTTGCAGGACTCCCAGAGTTCATCAAGATACTTTGGATTCATCTTTAATGCCTCCTCCATCTTACCCCAGGCATGCTCAATAATATTCATGTCTAGTGACTGGGCTGGCCAATCCTGGAGCCCCTTGACCTTCTTTGCTTTTAGGAACTTTGTGGAGGCTGAAATATGAGGAGCGCTATCCTGCTGAAGAATTTGCCCTTTTCTGTGGTTGGTAATGTAATGTGCAACACAGATGTCTTGATACCTCAGGCTGTTGATGTTGCCATCCACTCTGCAAATCTCTCGCACGCCCCCATACTAAAGGTAACCCCAAACCATGATTTTTCCTTCACCAAACTTGACTGATTTCTGTAAGAATCATGCGGCGTCCAGTCGGTCTTCTTCAGTATTGGTGATGATTGGGATGCAGTCCGACAGATGATTCATCAATAAAAATCAACCCTCTGCCACTTTTGAGAACTTAAGCTATTATTTGTCGCTCTTACAAGTGGGATTGAGGACAAGACTTTTGTCAGGTAGTGTATGAATGCGTTGAAACAAATTGCATCCAGTTGGAATGTCTTGCATCTTCATGAAAAAAATACTAAAGTAATTTATAGTACATACTAGAACCTAACCATACTATGATAAAGTACTTTAATCTGTTGTAATTCTGTTGTAATACACCTTCAGTACCCCAACTATTGGGTAGATTATACAACAATACACCACAGTTTAATGTAGTAAAAACTAAAGTATACTAGAGTATGTATTGCAGTAAACAGATTACTTGCTAATGCTAAACTATGCTGTAAGTGGATAAATGAGCAATAACACACGAGTAGGAGTGCGATGTGGCTGTAGATCGGCACTGGTGGGAGGGGGGTGCATTGGCTCAAGGCTGCAGGCCGAGTGTCTTCACGTTCCACCAGTGATAATATACAGCTGTATTGCACTGCTACTTGAATGATAAAGCGTTTATGCTACAGTTCGATGGCATAATTGTGTACATAAAAAAAGAAAATAAAGCATAGTCTAAAAACACTTGTATGAGGAACTACTTTCTTCCGCACGGCATTCACATCTGCAACTGATGGTCAGAACAGCAGAAACCGTTGCTAACTCGCCAACGTCACTTTAGAGCTAGTATTTGAATGATTCTCTAGCGTAATGTCTAAAGTGATGATAAAACAGCTGATTTTGCTGACATTTTAAGTTTATAAGGCTGAACGGCATGAAATGCCATCAGTCTAAAGCAGGCCCGGGTTAAGAATTCAGAGGCCCCTGGGCACAATGTCTTGTAGGCCCCCTACCTGGTCGCACCCCTATTGTTAAATAAAAAAATAAGAATAACATAATTTTTAAAAAAATAAAATGTATCTATAATGTATTGCCTGCATTTTTAAAGTAAATATACAGTACAAATATTTGTAGTCTACAGAGATTTAACTAATTTCTAAAGCACACTTTAAAAAAGAAAATACTAATACAACTAGTGAACAATAATGGATTTTAATATACTTGTTCAGGTTCACTGAAGCTGTACAAAAAATTATATTTAAGGGTATTTATAATGTATAACTTCTACACACTTATAATGCATATGATTGGGATATAACGCCTCTCCAATCCAATAGCCAGTGCCCGTAAGGCCCATTGGTTAATCTGGCACTGGTCTAGAGACAATCGGGAGATCACAATAATTAACCCCAAGAAAGCCAAAGCAAACAACACCAGAATACTATGGTATAAATACAGCACTACAACATACAAGAGAGAGAGACTTAGAATGTCACTAACCTGTTTTATAATGATTTGATCTGCTAAAGTTTGGAATTACACTGAGTTTTTCTCCTCTAACGTCCCATTCACACGGGGAGTCAGTGTCAACGCTTCCCGTTTACTTTGAATGGTTGATATCAGTTGCTGAACTGCATCGTGGATCTATCGGCGCCCCTTCAGTGGCCTTGCTCGCTTCTGAAGTTGGGTCATTCTCAACTTTTCAAGCGCCAACTGAAGCGTCAGCCAATCAGATTGCTGTATGCAAATACTCCAGCTCAGAAAGTAGCCGATTGATGACTAATTTCATTGGCTGACGCTGCTATGATAATCGCGTCAGCCCCAATTTCAGACACGCCCTCTGTCAAGCATTGACAGCCCTGTGTAAATGCAGTAAGGGCTTATTATGCAGTCTCTGTCTTGTGGCGGAACATCAACCGTCTTTGCTCTGCTTAGTATGACAGGCTGATAGATGTCGACATGGTGTATCCAAACAACTACATTCTCGTCTAAAAAAAAAAAAGCCTCAAATGTACATTGTGTTGTTCAACAGCTGCAATATTTGTCAAACTGTAGTGAGTTTATTGATCTGCAGTAACTATGTGGGCGGAGTAATACAAAAGGGTGAGGAGGCTGTAAGAGGGCTGTTATTGTAGAATATCGCACTGCTATTAACCAATCAGATTCAAGAACCAGACAGAACTGTTGTACAAACAATATATACACAACAATAAACTGTTCTATAGTATGATTAAAAATTCTGTTATATTTATCCCAGATAGTGAAAATGACATAATTTCAACCTAAAATCAACGTTTCTTTTGACATTGAATCAACGTTGATCACCCACATCAATTCAAAGTTGGCTTTCTATCTGTGTATAGTATTGTAAAATTATAGTTTGCTATTCACTGCTACAATTTATTTTTGCCCATTTGGGGTATGACACATACATTAAACCAACACCATGGTAAGTAAAATACGTCTCAGTTTTCATTTTTTATGTGAATGTTCCCTTTATGCCTCCTTAACATCAAAATAAACCGGTCACGTTCACACATACATCCTTTAAAAAGTTTACTATGGCCGTGTTTCAAAATCTAGTCCTCATCTGAAAGTACATAGAAAGTATGTTGCTGTTCATGCGCCAAACATGCTGCCTACATAGGGAGCTCACTAGGTATCGAGACACGGCCAGTCCTCCAGCTGATCGACAGTCTGGAACGGGGGAAAAGTGGCGTTTAATAACTTTAAACTTAACCATGTCGTGTTGTTTATAAAAGTCATTGTGTATTTAGTGTATCACTGTCGTGTTCGTGGAAAACAGCAGGTTTTTCTTAGCGTCAGTTAACTGGTCAGATGAGTTGTGCAGCTCTGAGGAGCGAGTCAGATTTTCCAATCGCTCATTTATGAGGAGATCGCGAGCCTTTTTTCAGCCTGCTGATCTACAACAGCCTCTGAGGTAAGTTTAAGACTTCATTCTTTTAACATTGTACTTTGTTAGATGCCTTTACTTTGCTTTAGTGTTGCAAACAAGCCTTTAAGGGTGACACTGAAGGGGGAAAATCAGTTTTAGGAATGTCCTCAAACCTAATTACATTAAAATTCACGATCCAGTTTATTAAATGTTTGTGAGTTTTTTGTGACTGAGCTCGACGAAGTTAGCTTTTGTATTTATATGTTCAAAGCTAACTTCAGATGTTCGTAAATGTTTTGAGTTTTTCTCCTAACTAATTTGAAGTTTACGTCAATCCTGAGTGAGTGATTGAGTGCTGTTAAACAGGCTCATGATGAGATATAATGTCGCTACACATTGAGTGTTAAACCCGCATTGCTCTAACGTTACTACTTTACACGTGCAACTTGATTTTTCCGAAAAATATCAACATTTTGTGGCAACTTTCAACATTTCTCACCTTGTTCGAGCTTTACGACCAGCCCAGCGCAGGCTACTGATTCATCTCATTCCGCTTTTTTGAGGAAATGTTTTTGAAAACATCATTATTTAACAATTGTGTCAAATTTATTCCAGCAATTTTCCTAAATTAAACCTTTATTTATCACACTATGGAATCACTGTTTAGTAGGTAAGTTTTATTGCTCATGAATACATATTTAGGGTTGTTTGCTTTATTATCAACTTCATCAACATGTCTTTTTGTGTTTCTTTTAAAGTACATTTTGTGGATGAATTTGTGTGATATATATATATATATATATATATATATATATATATATATATATATATATATATATATATATATATATATAACAATCAATATTTATGAAGCCTGTGTGTTTTCTTCAAACCAAACAAATTATAAATAGTATTACTTTGAAAAATTGTTAAAAGTATTTATTTTACTTGCATAAATATTTTACTTTCAGTCGAAACAATCATTATATAATCTGCTTAAAATAACCCAAAATCCTAATAATTTTAAAGTGGCTAGCTATATATATATATATACCGGCCACTTTATTAGGTACACCTGTCCAACTGCTTGTTAAAGTAAATGTCTTATCAGCCAATCACAAGGCAGCAACTCAGTGCCCTGAATTTAGGCATGTAGACATGTTCAAGACGATCTGCTGCAGTTCAAACCGAGCGTCAAAGGTGATCTAAGTAACTATAAATGTGGTATGGTTGTTGGTGCCAGACAGGCTGAACTGAGTATTTCGGAAACTGCTGATATACTGGGATTTTCATGCACAACCATCTCTAGGGTTTGCAGAGAATGTCTGATAGGAGAAAAAATCCAGTGAGCGGCAGTTCTGTGGGCGCAGATGCCTTGTTGATGGCAGAGGTCAGAGGAGAATGGCCAGACTGGTTCCAGCTGACAGAAAGGCAACAGTAACTGAAATAACCACTCGTTACAAAAGAGGTCTGGAGGAGAAGAGCATCTCTGAACACACAACATGTCCAGCCTTGAGGCAGATGGGTTACACCAGCAGAAGACCACACTGGGTGCCACTCCTGTCAGCTAAGAACAAGAAACTGAGGCTACAATTCCCACAGGCTCACCAAAACTGGACAATAGAAGATTGGAAAAACGTTGCCTGGTCTGATGAGTCTCGATTTCTGCTGCGACATTTGCATAATAAGGTCAGAATTTGGCATCAATAACATGAAAGCATGAATCCATCCTGCCTTCATCAATGGTTCAGGCTGGTGGTCTTGGCACACTTTGGGCTCATTAGTACCAATTGAGCATTGTGTCAACGCCACAAACTACCTGGATATTGTTGCTGACTGTGTCCATCCCTTTATGACCACAGTGTACCCATCTTCTGATGGCTACTTCCAGCAGGATAACACACCATGTCATAAAGCGTGAATCATCTCAGACTGGTTTCTTGAACATGACAATGAGTTCACTGAACTCAAATGGCCTCCACAGTCACCTGAACTCAATCCAATAGAGCACCTTTGGGATGTGGTGGAATGGGAGATTCACATCATGGATGTGCAGCCGACAAGAATTAAGGCAGTTCTGAAGACAAAAGGGGGTCCTACCCTGTACGAGTAAGGTGTACCTAATAAAGTGGCCAGTGAGTATTTATTAAATATATGTGTGTGTGTGTGTTTAGCATCTTAAAACATTTGCAAATTGCAACCATTTTATGAAACAGGTTATTAGAAATAGATCTGAATGTTTTGAAGGTTAAAGTTGACATTTTATATTCAATTTAAATTAATACCATTTGCTGAGGTCAAAACTACTCTGTAATCTATTCTATACAATGTCTAAATGCCATATGTTTTGATTGAACCCATACAAAAAAAAGTAGTTCTGTTGCAATAAGACAGAAAGAAAGCCTTTGCTGCTGTATCATTCTGTCCAGTCTCCTGATGTGCTGTTTGTCCAGGACAGGATGATGTGGTGTGTTTTGTCCTGCTGTGTGCTCCTTCTGTCGATCTGCTCCCACTCAGCCCATGCAGGGATGGAGGACTCCGACTGGGGTTCTGGATTCCACGAGCTCCTCAGCAGTTTCCCAGCAGACAGTCCTTTCGTCAGAGAGACGCCCGGCAGACCTGCCAACTGCACCCAGCGCTTCTGGCTGCCACCATCCTCCCCGGTGTGCTGGGATGACATCGCGGGACCAGAGGAGTTTGAGAAGTCCCGTATGCTGGTGCTGCAGAACCGGGCCGCTCTGCAGGCCGTGTCCACATCCAGCGGCCTGGAGGATGGAGGAGTGTCTTACGATCAGCAGGCCAGAGAGGAGGTGCAGGGCGTGCGGGAAGATCACCTTGCAGTCATCCAGACCACAGACACCATGCAGAAAGTCTTCCTGGATCTGGAGGAGAAGAGGAAGGAGGGGAAAGAGCATTATACCTTCAACAGGTGAATGAGAACCTTTATTTCTGGGGGAAGATATGTGACACATGAGCAAATCCAGCATCATGGATGCAGCTAAAACCCAAACATGAATACACAGAGAAAGTATAGGTTAACATTATATTGAAATACCTGTTTAGCCGTTTTAGTGACTGTCGCTTTAAATTCAAATGAGATTGTGCTCTTTTCAAAAGAGGGCGGAGCTACAAATGCATGTGTGTCAGCATAGAGGCGTATTCAAAGGCAGGCTGCTTCTCACTCAGGCCTTTTAATGAAAATGAAAGAAAGAAACTGAATAGGATTTCACCATATGATTGCAAGATGTTAACACAGTTTGTTTTCTTATGAATCATGTCTTTTTTCTTTTTTAGTCTGAAGGAGCAAATGGAAAACACCAGAGGCTCTATTGCTAACCGTGAGCAAGCCGCAGCTCTTCTGGAGAAGCACCTGCTCAATCTGGAGAGGTTTTTGAACACTATGCAGCTTCGACTTGATGAACTGTTTTATTAGTAATTTAATATGAGCAACGCAAACCAGCTCATGGCAAACAAACGTATGGAAAACAACATAATGCATGCTTCATTCATGTTTTTAAATTCAAAGATACAGCTTCTTTGACAGTGTACTGCATGCTAAAATGGCACCCTGCGTTTTGCTTTTGGTGTGCATTTTTTCTACTCTGTTACCCTCATATTTATTTATTTTCTATTGGCTTAGCCAATTAACCACAATTAACTAATTAACCACCAACTATTCCAGCCTATGTTTTACACAGTGGATGCCCTACCAGCTGCAATCCAGTACTAGGAAACACCAATACACACACACATTCACTACAGCCAATTAAGTTCATCCAGTTCACCTATAGCGCATGTCTCTGAACTGTGGGGCAAACCCACGCAAACATGGGAAGAGCATGCAAACTCCACACAGAAACACCAACTGAGCCTAGCCGAGCTTCGAACCAGCGACTTTCTTGCTGTGAGGCGACAGCATTACCTACTGCACCACGGCGTCGCCCTGGGACCATTTCATATGCATTAATAATCATTCCTACTGTTCAATAAACATGAACTGTCATAGTTTATTAAAGACGCAAACCCCTCGCTGCACATCAGCTGCCACCTTCAGCAAACATCCTATTACCTGCAGCACGAGGACTTTTCTTAATGAGCATCAAAAGTGGCTGATCTGTTCAGCAAAAGATTTGACTGCATGTCACCGCAAATCAAACGACTAAAATAATACAAAACGATATAACTAAAGCAATCTCCACTGTGCTGAGCGAGAGCGCTTGTCTTCTGTTAAACCAGGGGTGTCAAACTCAATTCCGGGAGGGCCGAAGCCCTGCACAGTTTAGTTCCAACCCTGCTCCAACACACTTACCTGTAGGTTTCAAACAAGCCTGAAGGACTCAATTAGTTTGATCAGGTGTGTTTGATTAGGGTTGGAACTAAACTGTGCAGAGCTGCGGCCCGTTTGGAACTGAGTTTGACACCTGTGTGTTAAACTGTCGCATCTTTGATAACGTAAGCATGCTTTGGCTGGTTGGTAAACAATGCAGTGTGAGTGCAGGGGGAGAGGGACAGCTGTGCCTAGTGAGTACTCCCTTCTAGCATTATTTCTAAATGTATTTATCTTTTTTACCTTGAGCATAAACATAATAATACATAAGACATTAATACATCTTATTATGCTGAATTTGCCTTAAATTGTATGTGATCAATTTTCAAATACCTTTGAAATGCTGTTAAATTAAAATATTCAGCAAGCCAAGCATCTTGGGGTTTTGTTCACGAGTAGCGGAAGGATGAAACGTGAGGTTGACAGGCGGATCGGTGCAGCGGCAGCATTAATGTGGTCGATGTACCGCTCTCTTGTGGTAAAGAAAGAAGCTCTTGATTTACCAGTTAATCTACATTCCTACGCTCACCTATGGTCATGAGCTTTGAGTCATGACCGAAAGGAAAAGATCTCGGATACAAGTTGCGGAAATGAGTTTCCTTCGCAGGGTGGCAGGGCGCACCCTTATAGATAAGGTGAAGAGCTCTGTCTGGAGTTTGGAGTAGAGCTGCTGCTTCTCCACATCGAGAGAAGTCAGCTGAGGGGGCTCAGACATCTGTTTTGGAGGCCTCCTGGACGCCTACCTCTCCCACCGAGAGGAGGCCTCTGGGAAGACCCAGGACAGGCTGGAGGGACTGTCTCTTGGCTGGCCAGGGAACACATTCGGGATCACCCTGGAGGAGCTGGAGGAAGTGTCTGGGGAGAGGGAAGTCTGGGGTTCTTTGCTAAGACTGCTGCCCCTGCGACCCGGCCCCAGGAAAAGCGGTCGAAAATGAGATGCAATGAGATTAGGAAGCCAGTAAGTGTCTGATCTTCTGCAATGTTAGAAACTCATTTCAAAACACAATTGAGACGGTGCTCACTGCAGAGCCATTTGAGCAGAGTTGAGCTCCAGCGAGGGGGAACATGAGCTCTCGCTCCACCTCCTAAGCTGTTTTAATGCGTACACCAACCCTAACCCTACCCCCAGTGACATCACTCGTAGAAGAAGTGCAAGAAAGGAGGAACGAGAGCTCAAGCTCCCCCTCGCTAGAGCTCAGCTCTGCCCAAATGGCTCTGCAGTGAGCACCACTTAAATTACCGTGAACACAAAATAATCAACAAACGTATTTATTCAAATACAAACACAAACTGTTCAAGAATTTTTTTTTAAAACTATACACAGTACACTATAGAAACCCTAACTTTTATCCTCCTCAGCAGTGACGTGGTTAAAAATGCAATCAAACATGTCTCTAAAACACACCCGAAACCCTGAGAGATGCATTTAGGAGCAAGCTCTGATTTCACATTGAATGGACTGTCAGGAATGAACAAGATCTTTTCTATACGCACGACTCATGGTGTCGAGCAGTAATGAACAGAAATGATTCTGCTTTCCAGTACTCAGTGGTTGATGTCTATTTAGACTTAGCATAGTGTAAGTAGATGTAAAAACAACACAGTGACTACATCAAGTATAACGTGTACATAACCTCTCCAAACCAGGTGTAAAAACACTATTCTTTGGGTGAAATGTCCTGATGTGTAAGACAGCGTTGTGTGATTTTTAGTGAGGAAGTTGACAGGACCAGTTAGCAGTGATTTCCTCTGACTTGCTATCCATCACTACATGTTGTCATCCTCTTTTTCCATTTCTTCCAGCGTCTTGAGATAATCTCTGGCCAAGATTTTCTTAGGAAGGATGTCTATAAATAGAAGAGCAAACTGTTTACACAGCGGTTTGACTTGGATCGAATGGTGTTTGTCATTAGAGACTCACCAGTTAAAAACTGAAAGGTTTCCGTCTCCTCTACCGTATCAGCCAGATCACTGTAGGACAGGGTGTTTGTGTCTTTACTGGGTCCGTTTTCATACGAGGAAAGAGCCAAGTGCTGGACAAAAAGCTCCTAGGAGGAAATGAAGATCTCAGGTTATGGTTAAAGTAAACTTCAGTCAATGTTATACAAATATACTCTACTAAATTGTTCTTGTAATCTATGCAACTACTTTAACTGTAATTTAATCTGTAATGGAAAATGTGGAAAATAGTGTGATGCATATTTCATTATTAAATATTTTAACCAAACAAACAAAACAATAAAGACTTGTATAATGCATGTAAATGAGTCTCATAAGGCAATAAGGATATTAAAAGAAGATATAGATTTAAACAAGTCATTGACATGCAAAAAAATATATAGTTAGAAGTTCTCAGGTGATCTGGGGAATTTTTAATACAATTTTTGAAGGATATAAAATGACAGGTGTCAATATCAACTAAATAAGTCCTTCAGGCTTGTTTGAAACCCACAGTTATTGCCGCAGTCACACTCGAGTTTGAGCATGCGAAATTCTGTAGTATGGCACTGCGAAAAGGGGCGCGATTAAACAAGATGATCAGACAGTTAAAAAAGCAAGCGATTGCTCCATATATTACATTTCTGTCCAGAGAGGTCATGTTTTGATCTTTAATTGGTCTCACGCAGCCACAAGATTCAATTTTGCAGGTCAGAGTTAACAAAGCTTGAATTTTGCAATGGAGCAAACAGCGAAACTTGTCGCACGAGCTTGCGTTTTAGGCCCGACACATTCAAGTGCATATGAATGGAAGTCTATTGAGAGAAAAGTCCAGTGTGACCACGTCTTTAATCTGTTGGAGCAGTTTGACACCCCTTTCATATATATATATATATATATATATATATATATATATATATATATATATATATATATATATATATAATATAATATAATCTGATTGGCTGATAGCCGTGAGATATTTTGCCAGTAACAGCACACAAAGGCCTCTTCACCTTTGTGTATTACTCCGCCCACATACAAGCAGAGACACACCACAGTTTGACAAATATTCCTGCTGTTAGACAACATAATGTACTTTAAAAGCTATTTTAGTCGAGAATGTAGTTGTTTAGATTGCAACTATGTAGTTAATTTATAAGGATAGTGCCCGTTTTAAAATATCATTTCGGAGAGAGCGCGTCGGTGTCCATTAGTCAAGACGGTTGTCTATCCACAAGATGGTGCCAGGACCGCATAATGAACTTAGAAGATTAAAACTGCTGTTTTCTTGAGAGCGAATGAGAAGCTGAAAAACGGAAGCATTGCTGTTTTTAAGGTTGACCGGATAGAGTCGATAAGAAGCTGGATTCAGCCTAGTCCCTCCTTAACGCAAACACAACAGCAGTCTGGCAGTGATTTCGCTGCTTTTTTTCATTTCATGTCACGTTCAGCCTAATAATCTTAAAATGTGAGCAAAATTTAGCTGTTTTATCATCACAGTTTTATTTTTATCTGTAAAGTGAATGTTGTTGCAGAGGTACGCAATCATAAATAACATGTTACATCCTACAAAACCAGAAGAGATGAGAGCGATTCCCAAAATCCCCTCAGTAAAACATTTCACTCTTATTGTCCACAAATTTAAAATTGAGGTAAAGCTGTTTTCATATTCACACATTTGCTCAGTAACAATTTTGTGATACGCTACTTTTATTATATTGTTGTTTTTATCATATTGTTTACCATGGTACTTTGAATTTTTGAATTAAATATTCAAAACAACATGAGCACTATTTAATTGACTGTAAACAGTGCTGTACTTTGATAGCTGTTGGTTGCGAAAATGATTTCATTATTAAGAATACTTTTTGGAAATTTTATTACCAAAGATAAAGTCTAAATGTGTGAATATAAAACCAACTTTACCTCAATAAAATTAAATAAGACTTAAAGACTTTTTGTGACAGGATTGTATGAAAATTAACGTATATTTAACTAATTAATGACACTTTTGCATATGTTAACATCTCTTTAAAAATGTCCTAACACAAAAAGGCATAAATTCTAACTTGTAGAGATTCAACTGGTGAAGTTTGATGATATAACTTAACTTTTAACGTGTTTTAGCCAAACATTATTCACCTGCAGTGTCTGGCGTTAAACTCAAAATAATCAATGTTACAAATGTTCACGACGATCAAAAGCAAAACAGAAAACGCCATTTTTAACTGAATGAGGCTGATGATGATAAGCTGGTAACTACCCATTGATTAATAACGCGCCAAATTACCGTTGCTTTTGTCGTCAAGAAAAGAGCGTCTTGGTTTATACAGGACACATCGGGAGAACTTTTCATGATTAATCGCACCCTGGAGATAGGCAGAGAAATAGTTCTACTGTTTGCAGCTTGATCTACTGTCTCCTCCATGTTTGTTTCAGACATGTTCTGTTGTTCAACAACCGCTTCAGAGCAACGGAAGTAAATCTACACAGACGTGTAGAGACGTCACTTGATGAAGTAACATGGGAATTGTAGTCTTATGAAGAATCGTGTTGTAGTTCTTTAAGAACGTAAAAATGTGTGTATTTATGTAGTTGACACGGAAAAAAAATAATTTATGTCTTATTTATCTTTTATTTTTATCTTTTTAGTTTTATTCTTAGCCACAATAATTTACCAAAACAAGTTGACGAATTTATCGAGGATGAATACTGCAAAAACAATATATAAATAAATAGACAAATTTATAGAGAAATGAGTAAGTAAATCCATAAATTCATGCATAAAGAAAATAGTAAATAAATAAATATGCAAATAAATATGCAAATAAATGTATATAAAAAATCCATATATATAATTCTACAAATTCCTGCATAAATACAATACAAAATAAATAAATATGCAAACTAATAAATAAATTTATATAAAAATCTACAAATCCATGCATAAATAAAATAATAAATATACAAAAAAATTTATATAAAAAATTTACAAATTCCTGCATAAATCACATAATAAATAAATAAATATGCAAATAAATAAATAAATCTATATAAAAATTCCTGCATAAATAAAATAATAAATAAATCAATGTATATATAAATCTACAAATTCCTGCATAAATAAAATAATAAATAAATCAATGTATATATAAATCTACAAATTCCTGCATAAATAAAATAATAAATAAATAAATAAATGTAAATAAAATCCATAAAGTCTTGCATAAATAAAATAACAAATAAATATATATGCATATAAATAATTAAATGTATATAAAAGAAATTCACAAATTTCTGTATAAATAAAAAAAGAAATAAATAAACATGTAAATAAGTAAATAAATTTATATAAATAATCCACAAATTCCTGCATAAATGAAATAATAAATATATAAATGTATTAAAAAAATCACAAATATACAAATAAATAAATAAATAAATGTATATAAAAAATTCATAAATTCCTGCATAAATAAAATAATAAATAAATAAAATAAATACATATGCAAATAAATAAATAAATGAATATAAAAATCCACTAATTCCTGCATAAATAAATATATAATTAATTAATAGTGCGGGCAGGTAAATAAATAAATAAATTACACGGATCTTGGGGGATTAAGAAAA